AGCAGCAGCGGCAGGCGGCTGCGGCGGGTGGCCGAAGTGGCGCCTGCTGCCCAGGCCGCAGCACTGCGCGGTGTACCATGCGGTGTAGGTACGCGGCGCGGCTCGCGGAGAGCCTCTTCTCGGGTAACTGTAGTGCGAGTGGCCGTGCCGACCGGCCACGTCCGCGCCGCGCCCCGCCTCGCCTCGGCCAGCGCGGCCGGCGCTTACTAGAGCGTGGACGTGGCATTTGCCGGCATTTGCCCAAGGCTCGGCCGAAAGGCCAACCACCCCGGCGGGCATCGCCAAGACTACATAAGCCCTCGCGAACAGCGGCCTGATTGGGGGATCCAAGTCAAGCCTCGCGAGGCGTGAGCCCCGCCCCGCCCCGCCCCGCCCCGCCATTGGCGGTCGATAAATATTGCGGGCTAAGCAGGTGCAGCGAGGGGCCTAACTGACAGGCCAAGGCAGCCCGACGAGGGCACGCCGTGTGTTCCGTGTCAGCCTCGCCCCGCCCATGCCGATCGAAGGCTGCCGGCCGTTCACAGTTCACGCCGTTCACACAACACACAGCGGTGAGGAAAGCTCACTCGGCTTTCCGCGCTCCGTGCCGTGCCGCGCCGCGCTGTCTCCCGCGGCATTGCCCTGGCCGCACAACACACACACACTTGCACACACACACTTGCACACACACACACACACACACACACACACACATGCGCATGCCGGAAGCAAAGCCCAAACGGCCGGCTTTATGGCGCGGGCCGCTGTGCAGCCCTTGAATGATTGAGGGTGACATCGGCTCGACCCGCCCCGCCCCGCCGCGCCCCGACCCGCCGCAAGGACCGAACTAAATAATGACGCGCAGTGGTGCGACGCGCGAGGCCCGAGGCGGCCGATACGTCATCCCTCGGAAAAAGCTGCCGCGCGCACACACACGCACACACAAACACACGCACACACACACACAAACACTCGCTCCAGCATCCGCCGGCGGCGTCTGGTTGCGCACGCCCGGCAAAACACCTCCACGCGGCGCAAGCCTCGCAGGCCTCCTCGCCGCGCCGGTCACCGCACTGCACCGCACCCACACCCAACCCCACCACAGCGACGACAGCTGTCACGCACCTTTCCCTCTCCCTTCTTTTCCAGTGTGCCGAACAAGGAGTCGCGGGGCTAGCGCGGGGCTAGCGCGGGGACGGGTCGCCGCGCCTTGAGCCCCGTGGGCCGCGGGGCCGCGGGTGAATCATTGCGATACAGGGAGGGGGGAGGGGGCGGCTAGACTGTAAAGGGAAATGTGCGCGGCCGCGCGCCGAGGGCCCTCTGTATACGTTACGTTACCTACGCCCCGCCGCCCCCGCCGCCCCCGCCGGGATCGAACGTTGCAGCGGCGCGGCGGCGCGGCGCGGAGGGGTCCTCCTGATTCCTCCCAACGTGGCGTGCCATCAATCATCCGTGTTGACGAATTTCCGGTTCCGCGCGAGAACTGCTACGGCGATGTCACGACGGGGAGGTTCGGGGGTGGGGCGGTATTTGCGTGCGTTTTGTGCCGCGCGTCACACGACAGACGTGTCGCGTAGACCGACACGGCAAAGCCTCCGACGAGCGCCTCAGAGTCTCGGCGTCGCGAGGGCGCGGGGGCCCTGGGCCTCGCGAGGTGCGCGTTGCAGGCGTTGCAGAGCGGGCGCCCGGCTGGACCGGCTTGGAAAGCGGCGTTTCATCGACGCCCCCGCGCCGCGACCGCCAGGTAACCCCTCCCCTCCCCCTCCCCCTCCCCCTCCCCTCCCCTCCCCCGCCGAATGCTTTTACTCTCCTCGCAGCGCATCGCGCACCGCCAACCCGTGCCAAAGCAAGCAGCGAGGAGCGAGGAGCAAGGCGAGCCGCGCGGCGCGGACCGCGGACCGGACCACCTTGCAATCCGCCAATCCCCCTCCAGCCCCTCCAGTTCCCCGGTCTCCAGCAACAACTTTCACGCGCACTGCGCCCGCCGCCCGCCCGTCTCCAGCGAGGCTCCAGCGCTGCAGGCAGACCGCAGGCAGACTGCAGGCGGCTCCAGGGATGCGGACCAGACAGGCCGCACGACACCGCGACAGCGCGACACGCATGCAGCATTGAACGGGGGGCGTGTCATCGCCGGCCTGCTGTGCCGCTTTGCCACCTGTCACGCGTCACGCGCCGAGCGGCACCTGCCAACGAGCAATCCGGCTCCATAGCAGCGAGGAATCCAGGCCGAAATGAAAAGGGCGGCCCTTCGCTGGAAAAGTCGAAAAGTGCAGCCATGCGTTCCCGGCCGAACCGGAGTGCCCCCCTCCCCCTCCCCCTCTCCACAAAGGGCACGCAGCGCGCGAGCTTTCCGAATTTGACGTGCGAGACAAGGCCCCACCCAGCGGCCCGCTTACGCCCAGGCCAGGCCCAGGCCGCGCGCACAAGTTTATAAGCCTTCGGAGGCCGGGCCGGGCCGTGGCCGGGCCGGGGTTGGCCGGGCCGGGGTTGGCCGGGCCGGGGTTGCCTGCCGGCCGTGCCTGCCAGGGTCCGCCAGGGCCGGCGCGCGGAGCGCCACTTCGACCATAAAAGATGGGAAAAGTTGGACTCGTTTTGACCACGGCATTGAAGAGACGCAGGGACGCAGTGCGGCTGGCAAGCTGGCCATCACCGCCAGGATTATTTCGGCCTTTTTCTTCCAGGGAGTCGCAATGACGCGATAAGTCGCGAGGCGGGGCTTCACCCTTTCGGTTCGGCCCGCGGGAAAGGGGAGGGGGTGCTCTTTGATCGGGGCCCGCCGCGGGCCCGCGATGACGAAATGTTGAGTACACTGCAAGGCGCCGCCCGCCGCCGGGCGTGGGACGAGGCGTAGCGTCGCGTAGCCTACACACTGCAGAAGCCAAAAGCCCCCTCACCTCACCGCACCTGGCCTCCGCGGAGCCGCGAGCCTCCCGCACGCAAACCCACGATCAGACGTGGGGAAAGGGGGGAGGGGGATGGAGGGGTTGATAAAACGCTCAAATTACGGCGACCCAAAGCGGCCAGCGCCCTGTGCACGCGGCGCCGCGCGGAGCTCCGCCAGCGGACTCGATACGCCTTCCATCCATGGCGACGGACATTTGCCTGGGCGGCGTGGCGGCGCCGCCCCGTGGGAGTGCGAGAGAGACAGCGCGACCCTTCTGCACCGCACCGCGGCCCCGCGCCCTTTGCCGCGGCGCTGCCTGCAAATTGCAAGCACTCGTGTGTGCACCACAAGGGCACCACGCTATGCCGCGCCGAGGCGGAGTGCAACTTCACCTACGCCGTCGGAAACATATTCAACCAAGTTTTAGTTTGTCGCCCCGACTGCGCCTATTGCCGCACCGCCGCACCCCGCCACGAAGGGGAAGGAGGAGGGGCGGGGGAGGGGGAAGCCCTTCAAGGACGGTGGGGCGTACCGTCACGCCCTGGCCACTCGGGCCACTCGGGCCACTCCGCAAAATGAGTACACTGTCACAAAGGCGGCGGCGGTCTGCGCGGTGCACACACCAACACAAACACACACAGAGGTGCCGTAAATGCAAGTGGCTCGTCCGCCCCGCCCGCGTCGACTGGGCGGAGGAAACCGAGAGTGCGGCGGGAGGCCGGAGGTGATTCCCCGTTCAACGCTCCCCTCGCCCCTCGGCCGTCTGGCCGCGCCGACCGGGCCGGGCCGGGCCGGGCTGAGGGCCGCATGCCAGATGGCAGCCAATGGCAGCCAATGCGCTGCACTGCCCTGCACTGCGCCCCTTTCTCTCCGAGGTCCGCGTCCGCGGGCCGGGCCGTTCATTGTGACCAAGAGGCGCTGGGAAAGCGGTCACGCCGAAGCCGAAGCTTGCGAAGCTTGCGAAGCTCTGTGCGCTGCGCTTCCCGGCGGCGTCCTCAAGGCGCCGAGCGGTCGGCCAGCGCGCCAGCCAGCAGCAGCGCCAGCCACGCCGTGCACGCTAACGGGACGGCGGCGCCCCGCTCCGCCCCGCCGCGCCACGCCGCCCAGAGCAACTCTTCATTTTCACTCAATTGGCGATTCGCAATGAGACGCAATCCGACACACTTTCTTTTCCCTCCCGGACACCTCGTTCCTTGATTCCCAAGATTCCCAGTGTCCTGTCATCGCCGCGCTGCCTGGCCGCCTCGCCCGCCGCGCCGACCGGAAACGGAGGCAGCGATACCGCGCCAAATTCAGTGGGGAGGGGGAGGTCGGAGTAAGAAACACTAAGTGACGCGGCAGTGGGTCGGCGCCGGAGAGGCCGGCACGCCGGAGGGGTCGGCGAGGGGTCGGAGGTCACCGGAGTCAATCTGGATCGCGAGGGGCCGAGACGAGAGAGACCGACGGGTGCGGGTGGGAGTCGACGGGCTGGCCCGGCTGGCTGGCCGACCGGCTGGTCAAGCTGGTTGGGCGCCAGCCAAAAGCAGCAGCTGGGACGGACGGGACGGACGGGACGGGGCTCACCGCACGCGGAGAGAGCGCGCAGCAGCGCAGCAGTTCGCAGCACGTGGTTCACATGCCTCCCACATGTGCAAGCCGCGCCAGTCGCGGCAAGCCCGGCAAGCCAGTGGGCGTGGGCGGCACTGGATGCACCGCCTGCACCGCCGTGTTTTTGGAGGGTACTTCCGGAGGCGAGGCTCCTTCAAGCCAGGCCCGTCAGGCCGCGGATGCAGACATGCAGACCGCAAGCACGCCGCGAGCCGGTTTGAGGTTCACGGCCAGCCGGTTGGTAATCGTCCGGCTCGAACCCCATTTAGGGTTCGCTCGTGTCAGTGTCATGTTCTCTGTTTCTCCGGCTGCGTTCTGGAGCACAGGCCGCACCGGCCGCACAGGCACGCACCGGCGCGGCGGCCAGTGTGCGTAGCACTGCGTAGCACTGCGTGCCTCCGAGAGATTCTCCCCGACGGACGAGAGGATAGATAACTACAATAACTGGATCCGAAGCGGATCGGCCGGCGGGTGGTGGACGCCGGCCTGGCCGGCCTGGCCTGGCCGGCCTCGCCGCTGGTGGACGAGTGCCGAGTTCCACTGGGCCTACCTCGTCGCGGCATGTCGCTGCCTGCCGAGCAGCGAGGCGGTGTCGCTCGTCATACTCCTGCAGACATTCTTGGCTGGGCCTGGCGGGGTGCTGCAGGTGCTGCTGCTGGAGGGTCCTGGACTCTAGGTCCTGGAGGACGCTGGAGCGCCTCGGCGGGAGGCAGGTTCCTCGACGAGACAGCGCTCCGGCGGCGAGGGGCCTTATGAATAGGCCGTCGCGGGGCGCTGGAGAGGCGTCTGGAGGGGCGTGTGGAGAGGGCCCGATCTCGCCGATCTGGACGGTCTTGTCGTCGAGGGCCTCGACATCGGGGAATGACGGCCGGTTCGTGCGAGCGTTCGTGCGGACATTCGTGCATTCGGCGCTCTTCCCTCCGCACTCAAACAAGTTCCGTGGAAAGCATCGCCGCTGCTCGCGCTGCTCCTGCCCCGCGGTCCTTGCGAGCGGCTCGGCGCGCCGAGCAGTACGTATTTGTGTCAGGCAGCCCGTGTGCTACATTCAGGCCAGACCTAACCTAACTTTCCCATCCTCCACCCGACTTGAAATCTCCACGGCCTGCCGCGGCGGCGTGCCCTGCGACGGGGCCTGCAGGCCTGGAGTCGCGGGGGCAGGCTTAAGGCAGGCACGGCCCGATCAAGGACAAGCTGGGTGCCATTCAGAAGACGGCCGCTGTCCTGGTCGTGGAGCAGGACATCACAGCAGCATCACCAGCGCGACGAGAAGCAGTATGAAGATCATCTTGTTGACTGTCGCCGCGGATGAACTGCGACTTGTTGCAATGTTTGAAGCTGCCCTTGAACACAACGCGGTCGCTGGCAGGAACGGGGAGCCTTTGAGCAAGTGCGGGGGAGGAACGCAGAACGCGGCAGCAAACTTGAAGCGAAAGTCGACGCACGTAAACGGGAGAAACAGAGGGGCGAGCGCGCGAGGTCCAGCCGTACCTCTGTGGCGCGAGGAGTCGCGCAGACTGAGGTTCGGGTTCGGAGCCGCTTCGGAGGACCGCGCGCCGCAGCGCGAAGGCCGTTCGGGTGCACTCGGCTCCGTGCAGCGACGCTCGGCTCGGCTTCGGGCGGCTCGCGGCTCCGGGCGCGCGGCGCGGCGGCCCGTCAAATGGGCCCGCGTGCCGGTCCGAGTCTCCAGGGGAACGGGAAATAAAGTAAGACTCGGACATACAGACTGGAACATAAGGAATCCTGTCAAAGCCGGAGTCTGGAGTCCTCTAGAAAGCTCTTACAGCGAATGATCCCACGTCCGGGATTTTGTTCGCTAGCGCCCTGCGGAAACCGAAGCAAGCGCCAGTGGGTGCAGAAGAGTGGCTTGCCACGCGTGTCGCTTAGGTCCCTACATTACCTCCCTTCGGGGGTGATGTAGGGCTCTAGTGTCGCTGTGTCTCCGTTTGACTTGACGGTTCTGGCCTCCGGGTCTCCGCCGTGTCCGCGAGCCCAGTTATCCGCCACCAATATCCGATACACCTGCCAGCACGCTGCGTTCTGCTCTGCGTGCTGCCTGCCCGGAACGACAACGTACACGGCAGCGCGGTAATTGCAATAAACGACAGGCGGGCACGTCGCGTGCACCCCTTTGGCTGCCTATGCCTGCCTAAGCCTGGCTTTGGCATTCCCCTTCCCAAAGTTTATCGTGTCATTGGCCAGGCAGCCTGTTCGCCCGGCGGTGGGGGCGGGGGGGGCCGCGATGGCGTTCGGGGCTGCACGGCACTTCGGCATAGGCCAGCAAGGCCAGCCCATTGCGCGGCCTTGTCCGGGGGCCACGGTCACGGGGACGACTTGCTATCTCGCATCATCCCCCGTCCCGCACGCCACGCCGCCACGCCTCGACGCCACGCCTCCGCGGCCACAGCGACCTTTCCGCCGCCGTGTCGGATAGCCGTGTTCAGTGAAAAGGGCCGCGCTGGCCGTCCCGCGTGCGTGCTCGCGCGTGCGCAGTGGCGTAGCCAGCGTAGCCCAGCCCAGCCCCGGACCACCTTGCGACTTCCGTCTGCTTCCGCCGGGCCGTCGGCGGGGCTCGCGGCCCTGGTGGCCCTGACGGCCCTCACCCCCACTTTGCATACCGCTTTATCTGATCCGCCCTGCACCGCCATGCACGGCGCGGCGCACGGCAGCGGGCGGCAGCGGGGCCCTCTTATTGTGACGGAGTCGCTGGCGCGGCCACCGCCACGGCCCTGAGCAGCCATGCCCTGGAAATGGTTTTTATGCCTCGAGCCCCCGTGTCGTGGCACGGCCTGCACCCCCACCTACCCCGCGACAGCCCCGCTCACTGTTGCCTGCATTTAGGGGCACGAAAGGGGCGGCGCGCCGCGGCGCCCGTGGTCTCGACTTGGTGGCGTGGGCTGCGGAACCAGTAGTTGTAGGCACTCGCGAATACGTTCGCAAACCGTCCGCTGGGATAATAATTAAGTTGTCAGGACGATACGTGCGCCGTGTGACTCATAACGCGGTATAGTACGCGTTGCAAATATTACCAGGCTATCGCGCTACTGACCGACAGACGTGTCACTGCGTCTGTTTGCCCAACTGCGCTGCACAGGTGCCGTAGTGTCAATCCCAGGGCAGCAGACGCAGAACATCACAGCTGAATCAACGTTTCGGCGGCCTTCGCGGCCTTCCCGCGACCGCCTCGCATGCGTCGAAATGCGCATTCTCTGAGGCAAAACCGTAGGCCAAAACCGTAGGCCAAAAAAAGTATTTCCGCGGGAAATGCTTTTACTTGAAATTCGGCCGTGGCCTGGATATGCAGACGTATCAAGAGGGAAGCGAGTGTGCCTCCACCAGTGTGATGTCTACCACTAACGGAGATAATCGACGTTCAATACACAGAACACTTTACTCAGCCGACTGTCCGATAAACCGAATCCGACGGTACATTTGACCCTGAGCCCCATTTCTATTGATACCATCTACCGCCATCTACTGTTTTCCCCTCTCCACTTTACTGCGGTCTTTGTAGTAAGGCATAGAACAGTGGTTCTCAACCTTAGGGTCGCGACCCCAAGCGGGGTCGCGAAATTTTTTTAAGGGGTCGCGGCGATGCTGGGGTCGTGTTTTAGGCCGATTTTAAGCAGCCACTGCGTCTGATCCGAGGCGGGCATTTTGCTCCCTCAACGGGCAACTGGTCTTTGGACCTTCCTTTAGCATGCCTTTGTTACGGAGTGCAATTATCAGTCTTAGTTTGGGAGCAGTATTGTCTCAAAGTTGGCCGAAACGCTCAGAAATGTCTATGAAAAATCGTGTTTTGGGCCGATTTTAAGCAGCCACTGCGTCTGATCCGAGGCGGGCATTTTGCTCCCTCAACGGGCAGTTGGTCTTTGGACCTTCCTTTAGCATGCCTCTGTTACGGAGTGCGATTATCAGTCTTAGTTTGGGAGCAGTATTGTCTCAAAGTTGGCCGAAACGCTCAGAAATGTCTATGAAAAATCGTGTTTTGGGCCGATTTTAAGCAGCCACTGCGTCTGATCCGAGGCGGGCATTTTGCTCCCTCAACGGGCAGTTGGTCTTTGGACCTTCCTTTAGCATGCCTCTGTTACGGAGTGCGATTATCAGTCTTAGTTTGGGAGCAGTATTGTCTCAAAGTTGGCCGAAACGGTCAGCAGTGTCTTTGAAAAATCGTGTTTTGGGCCGATTTTAAGCAGCCACTGCGTCTGATCCGAGGCGGGCATTTTGCTCCCTCAACGGGCAATTGGTCTTTGGACCTTCCTTTAGCATGCCTTTGTTACGGAGTGTGATTGTCAGTCTTAGTTTGGGAGCAGTATTGTCTCAAAGTCGATCAAAACGGTCGCAAGTGTCTTTGAAAAATCGTTGTGACTATTTTGGTCAACTTTGAGACAATACTGCTCCCAAACTAAGACTGATAATCGCACTCCGTAACAAAGGCATGCTAAAGGAAGGTCCAAAGACCAATTGCCCGTTGAGGGAGCAAAATGCCCGCCTCGGATCAGACGCAGTGGCTGCTTAAAATCGGCCCAAAACACGATTTTTCATAGACATTTCTGAGCGTTTCGGCCAACTTTGAGACAATACTGCTCTCAAACTAAGACTGATATTTGCACTCCGTAACAAAGGCATGCTAAAGGAAGGTCCAAAGACCAACTGCCCGTTGAGGGAGCAAAATGCCCGCCTCGGATCAGACGCAGTGGCTGCTTAAAATCGGCCCAAAACACGATTTTTCAAAGACACTGCTGACCGTTTCGGCCAACTTTGAGACAATACTGCTCCCAAACTAAGACTGATAATCGCACTCCGTAACAGAGGCATGCTAAAGGAAGGTCCAAAGACCAACTGCCCGTTGAGGGAGCAAAATGCCCGCCTCGGATCAGACGCTGTGGCTGCTTAAAATCAGCCCAAAACACGATTTTTCATAGACATTTCTGAGCGTTTTGGCCAACTTTGAGACAATACTGCTCCCAAACTAAGACTGATAATTGCACTCCGTAACAAAGGCATGCTAAAGGAAGGTCCAAAGACCAGTTGCCCGTTGAGGGAGCAAAATGCCCGCCTCGGATCAGACGCCGTGGCATGTTAAAGGAGGGGTCCCGTGGGGTCGCGAAATTTTTCCTGGGGGTCGCGGAAATTTTTGGCTTCAAATTTGGGGTCGCGAGCCGAGAAAGGTTGAGAACCGCTGGCATAGAACTAAAAATAAACAGCGGGATGGGATTGAGTGATCCCGTTCATTCATTCAGTGACGAACATTTTCTTTCTTTTTCCTTTTTCACTTGCAACAGTCTGGGCGCTGGGCGGATTGAGGGAGGTAAGTCATGCGCAGCCGAATGGCCCGAATGTTTCTTTGGTGAACCGCCGCACCGTTCCACCGCAAAACGGTGCTATCCTCCAGCCAGGCTAGGCGTGGACCGCGCCAAGAGCGGGGCGCGGCCGGCGGCGGCGGCGGCGGTGAGCCTGGCGCCCGGAGTGCCGACAGGACAGCGACAGCAAGAGGCACCTGACGCTAAAGGCCCTGAAGGCCCCAAAGGCGCTTCCGCCTCATTGTGGCCGAGGGCGAACTGCTTTCCACGCCATTCTGTGTCCCGACCGAGTCCCTCCCGAGTCCTGCCCCAGCCGTCCTGCCCCGCTGGCCTTTGCAACAATCGGCAGTCCTGCCAGCCTGCCAGTGCCTGCCAGTCGGCGCAGTTTACGGTGCCCGTGCCCGGCCTGGACAACCTGCAGCGGCCCCGCGGTAGCCCTGCGGTCTGCCGACTGATCCAGAGCCATCTGCCTCTCTCGCACTAAAGCGGCGTCCCCCGTTGGTGCGCGAGAGACCGCGACTGAGCATTGCTCTTCGGAATCAGTCTGCTTGTGTCCACTCACAACGGTGCTAGTGCTGCCTTTACCCATGGCAGCCGCACCGCCGGACGGCGTTCTAGTCTAGGACAGCTCACCCTCGGCGACGGTCCGTCGGGCAGAGGAGCCCCTGTCGGGCCACCATGGCGACGACCTGGAGGATGAGTCGCTGGAGGGAGACTCGCCGCGTGTCCGGAGCGTCCGGAGGGGCGGCTGGGTCGAAACGGAAACGTCCGACGAGGAGCGAGGTTGGCGTTGGCGCGGTCGGCGACGTCTCACATGGCCGTGCCCGTCGGCGGGCGTGCGGATGTATGCCCAGTTGCAGTGTGCCAGCGGCAGGTGCCGCCTTGCGCTTGCTGCTCGCGCTTTGCTGCTTGCTGCTTGCGCACTCCCCCCCGGCCGGGCTGAGACTGACGGAGTGGCGGTGCCTCAAGCGCTGGCGGTGGCGCCAGGGGCCAGGGCGGGCCAGGGCGCACGGCAGCCAAATGGTGGCCCGGCGGCCCAGCGAGACAAGCAGGGTTCGGCAAAGACCTCTCCTCCCCTTCCTCTTTTCTTCGTAGATGACGAACAAACTATAATCGCACATCGCACTCGACGCTTTCTAATTAACGAAACCACGACGAATCTCGCAATTCCGGAGGCTAAGCGATTAGCGTAGGACGAATCCGCTCACCCGTTCCCCACAAAGGTGTGCTTGCCCCTGCCCCTGTCCCGGTGGCGCGGGGGCGGGGCGGGGAGCGGGCCACCGACGTGCATTTTCGGATCTGTTATCGTCATCCGCGACGCGAGGCGTGTATGCGCGGCGAGGCAGGCGAGGCAGGCGAGGCAGGCAAGGCAGGCAACGCGAGGGCGCCTCGGATCGGGAAGGAGAGGAAGGAGGGGCGGGCGGAGCATTAGCCCCGTATCTTATCTCGCTCTGGCGTTCAAGGTGGAGCCTAAAGGACCATGGAGGAGCCTGGAGAAACTGAGAGAAACATGTAGCTGCGCCGCGTCTTCGTCAACAATACGAAATGGCATGCGATCATTTGAGGTCCAGCAGCAGCAGCAGCGCCTGCGGACGGGAGGGTAGGCAACCCGTGGAACGCGTAGTCACCACGGCCTTGCCTACCCTGGCACCGACAGGCGCTCCTTGACTTCGGTCTCTGTGTGTCGGGGAAGCTCTTGCGCCGCAAGGGGCCGCAGACTCGAATAGAACGTTCTAGAAAGTTACTTCGTGACCTCAACTCACTTTATTCATGCTCTGAGAGGAAAATTATTTTAGTCGGAATTATATGGACGATCGCACGAGATCCTTTCGAATGTCAACTCGAATGCTGCAGAAATTGATTTCAAACTCGCCATTTTGATTGTGGTTTGGGGCTTCCAATGGGTACTGGAGGAGAGGCCCCGAAACCTGAATCCCGAGCCCGAACCCGAACCTGCCCGAACCCAATGACACTATTCGCACTATCGCACGACCGCTCCCCCCCCCCCCTGACTACTCCCTCCCTCCCCTGTTTGTTTCTCGAAATCCGAGAGTGAGAGTGCCGGGAAGTTTGTTTGGCTTCAGCTTCATGTTTTCTGGAGTGTTCTGTTGACACATCTTGCGCGTACGCTATTGCTGTCGTCTCTTCGAGTCTCACAATTTGGACGCGTAAGTATCCTCTTTTCCTAGACATCTTCGGCCTCAATCTAGACGTTTCGTCGTAGTGCCCTAACCTCATGGCTTTCGGTTGGCTTCCTATTTTAATCTGTTTTAAGTTGATCTGACACAAAGTGGCATCTCAACTTGTTGGGAAAAATTTGATGAGTGTTCAAGCTATTTTGGCTGTTGCATGCATCATGTCTGCTCAAATATGTACGTTTATGGTGTGTTAAAGTGTTGGCAGCCTTGTTTGTTTACAGTCTGCTGCTAGCAGTTTGTTCGCTAGGCTACGTGGTTTTCTCTGTATCTTTTGAATTTTGGACAATTTCGAGTAATCTTTGATTTCATGAGTCGCCTTTAAGATTGAAGTGAGACTCTAGATATATATTTGTTTTCGTGTCAATCCGTTTTATTGGTTCGATTCATACTAACAGACTTTTTAATATAATTTTCATTTCTTGGCATAACCTGAACCTGAAGCATATCTTGTGATTTCGATACCAATTTCAGACACTGTGGCTCTACTGTGTTAAAAATGAATTTCAAAAGCCTTATATTTGCTTCTGTAATTTTATGTTTTTGTGAATGTGAGTTTTGTAACCGTGATGGGACTGGTGATGAATGTCATCAACAGGTGGGCGATACACCCAAACCCTCAATTTACTCTAAAGAAGTAAATGAGAAATGGAGCGCCTTGCTTTTAGAAATATCAAAGGCAAATGATGAATATAAGGAATGCCCTTCTAGCAATTGCAGCTGTCACTTTAGTGTCATTCAAAGAGATATGTCAAATTTTAAGAATGGCATTACACATCAAATGATTAAAGCTGCACAAACTCGAGGCACAAAATATCAGATAATTAACCATCGCCTGTATAGAGCCAAAGCATGCATGTTTCCTGCAAGGTGTGCTGGAGTGGAACATTTTCTGTCAAAAATCAAATCCAAAATCCCTGATATAGAATTTATTCTTAACACACGAGACTGGCCTCAGGTTAGCAAATATCACAACCAGCTGCAACCTGTCCTCTCGTTTAGTAAAACAAGTGATTATTATGACATTTTATACCCGGCATGGAGCTTTTGGGAAGGTGGCCCCGCAATCAAACTGTACCCTCAAGGCCTTGGGCGCTGGGACAGACACCGCGAATCTTTGAAACGAGCTTCAGAAGGCTGGAGTTGGGATCGAAAGATTTCTCTTGGCTTTTTCCGAGGCTCGAGAACCACAGAAGAGAGAGATCCATTGGTATTGTTGTCAAGAGAGGAACCAGACCTTGTTGATGCTAAATACACTAAAAATCAAGCATGGAAGTCTAATGAGGACACGCTAGATGCTCCCCCAGCCGAAGAAGTATCGCTTGCAGATCATTGCCGATACAAATATCTATTTAATTTCCGCGGAGTAGCTGCAAGCTTTCGTCTGAAACATCTCTTTCTTTGCAAAAGCCTTGTGTTCCATGTTGGAGATGAATGGATTGAATTTTTTTACCCTGCTATGAAACCATGGGTTCACTATGTGCCTGTTAGAAGTGGAGCAACCAAAGAAGATATTAAGAAGCTTTTGAATTTTGTTAAAGAAAATGATGATGTTGCAAAAAGAATAGCAGATCAAGGCTTTGAATTTATCTGGAACAACTTAAAAATGAAGGATGTTACATGCTATTGGAGAAGACTTTTAAAACAATATTCTAAAAATTTAAAGTATAAGCCATCTCTTGATGAGTCTCTGATAGAAATAAAATATTCTTCCTGAATACATGTTAAATGAGGAAATATCAGCAACTTCTCATGTAAGGAACTTAAAATTTATTCAGCTTGCTTGTTTGATCTTCATCTTGCCGTTGAAAAGTGTTATTTAAGACTGAGTTTGATGTAAATTACTCTTTTTCCTGTCTTATAGTCTGGACCAATCTTTTTGTTAAAACATAGTCTGACTGGCATAAATTTTCAACCAAATTAAAATGGTCCATTGTTGGTACTTCATACACACTAGCATCTAATTTGTAGCTGCGTAGTTTCTGAAAATGATAACACCACTTTATACTTTGCTCCAATTTTATAAAGTCTGTGTTTCACACACAAATGTTTTACCTGAACAAATCTCTTGACTGTGCTTGAAAAGCAGGAGAATCATGTTGTCCGAATATTACAATAATTTTTATGTTGTAATTTTGACTTGCCATCATACTTATTGGGCTGTGTCTTTCTGCTTCCTCCCTGAAAAATACAAATAAATTAACAATGATACAGAAAAACATAATTTTTGAAATGTTATTAAGTTTTTCAACATTAAGACAATTTCAACAACTTCGAGATATTAATGAATTTTCTCTCTTGTTACAGATTCACTAGGATATCGAGCACAATGGGACACTACGAAGATGTCCTGAGGCAGACCATTAAGATGGGAGACCTTCAGAAGTTTAAGACTTTGGTTAATAAGAAGAATATTGATGCACAATTATCAGATGGCTGGACTGTCCTTCATAGTGTTTGTGCTGAAGGCCAAGAATCGTTTGTTGAGTATGTAATCTCTTGTGGTGCTTCAGTCAACTGTGATTTTGAATATTTCACGCCACTTATGGCCATATGCAGTTCTCCTTCTATTAATGAAGATGAATTGGTAAAGTGTGCTGAAATTTTAATTGAACACAAAGCAGATGTAGATGCTATGGACAAGACCAAAGTTACACCATTAATGCATGCATGTCACAAGAACCATGAAAAGTTAGTCCAGTTTCTTTTAGAACATCATTGTGATGTAAACGCAATGGACAATGATGGCTATTCTGCTCTCCATTTAGCATGCATGAACAACAGACCTAATATAGTTAAAATGCTTCTGGAATGTGGAGCCGATAAACACATGAAAGATCGCAGAGGCCGTTTGCCCCTAGGTATAGCAATTTCGAAAGAAGCTGAAGAGATTATTCAGATGCTTGATGGTTGTGAACAAATGCTTGTTGAAGCACCAACAAAAGCAAGCTATGAAATTGAGGAAACACCATTTGAGCGCCTCCTTTCTGAGTTACCATCTTATACCAATTCTTCAGGCAAAGATGGATTTCATAATGATGTCCCAATACTTCTGTCTGGGATGAGATTAGAGCAAACTGCTGACCTCTTTCTGAAAAATAAGGTTAGCCTAGCTCAGTTTCTGAATGTAACCAATGATCAATTGAAGACCCTGGGACTGTACTTTTCATCGCATCGAAGCAAGATTATAACAGGAAACAAAAGATTTATCTCGCATGCCTGGGGTGAGCATTCCCTTCCAGAGGAGAATAAGGATGGATCAATCATGGACGTTTGTCGTGCATTGGCGAATGGTGTGAAACATGTCCACATTCTGTTCTGTACAACCCTATACTGTAATAACAGATTTATAGTACCCACGAATGAGGATGATCTGTACAAAGTTGGCAACCTTTTTGATATAACATTGAGGGCTCACCGCCAAGTTAAAACTCTCATCAATGAATTAAAATTGATTCAAGAGCGTGTTGAATACATAGACAAAGTTGATAAAGTTAAACCAGTTGATCTTGTCCTTCCCATTAAGCATGGGTTTAAATTCCCCAAAAAAATTGCTTTTGTGACTGCTCTCTGTGTCCTTCTTGCGTGGAGGGGAAATTTCCTGAATGTGATTAGAAAATGATTCAAAGTTGCTGTGAGAATGCTAATGTTACTTGTTAAAGTATTATTTTCATTTTGTATGTTGACTGAGTGGATACTTAAGTTCAAAATGTTAAGTTTACATGTATGTGTGTGATACTAGTTTAATCCTTTTCCTGTGATTAAATATGAATATCTTTGATGCTTCCATTCCAAGTAAAACAAAATGCAACTTACCCATGTAATACTGTTAAGGAAGTTAAATAATTAAATTTGTAAGCAAGAGAAGATCTAATTAGTATGTAAAAGAGTGCCACCGTGCCACCATTTTTATAATTACTACCACTAGTTAGTCTTTTTTGTTTGAAACAGTTCTTTCCTTTCAATAAAAATCTGATTAAGTCTAATTACTGTGCATGTGTTACTTTAGTCCCTACTTACTCATTCATTTGAAGCGGACCGTTAATATAGGTGTGGACTATTGGCTTCAGATCAAATATTCCACTTATTGGTAGAAATCCTCGAATCAGCTGAATTTGTTTCAGTGGCAAGGAGTCCATCCAGCCTGATGTAAGGAGGACTCCAGTCAAATGTCCCCCAGCAGAAAATCCACTGAACCACACACCGCTGCAAACTCAAATGCATTAGTAAATCACCCGCCTTGCCTGCTTATTGTCTCTTATCTAGAACTCGAAATTGCAAAAGACCTGCAGTAAATGATTTGTGATACTATTCAATTTAAATCTGATAAGTACACTAAATACCTTGACCCAAGATCCTCAGCCCTAGACATGATGACCTTGCCAGCTCGTTTTACTTCTTCCACAATCTGAGTCATGTTTGCTGGAAAATGTCGGAATTTCATATCACGAATTTGACTTTTATGATATTCTTATTGTGTTAGTATTACCTTCAGTACATACCTTCAGGAGCAAGATCATATCCTACTATCATCACTCTTATGCCGGCATCGAACAACGGCTGCACTGGATAGCAGGACATTTCCTTGTTAAGGTGTTGCCAATATCCTCCGTGGATATACACATAGATCGGGGCTTCTGCAAAACAGACACAAATGAAACAGGCATGGAATTTTCTATGTCATCATTCTTTTTATTGCCATAGGGAATTACCATTGGGCAGACTATCCCCACCAAACTCGAACATCGCCTCCCTGGGGCCGTCTCCGTAGCGAAGCGTCCGGTACGGGACGGAGGCACGCACGCGGTCGCTCTCTGGACAAAGACGAGGCGCAGGCATGACTACACATTTCGTTGAGACGGGGCCGTTTGCTCGGTGCGCACCGAGCGGCGCCGCTGTCTTACCAGCGTTGGTGACCTCGATGTGGTTCTCCACGACCACCTTCTCGTGCATGCGGGGCACCCAGAACCTCGGCGAGTACTGGACGTCCAGCTCCTGCAACAATCCAGCAGCACCTCTGAAGCAGAGGCCAGGGAATTCCCTCGCCCTGGTGGGCTCTTCCTCTGCCCACGGGAGGCACCTAGCAGAGCGATTCGCTTTCGTCGCTCTGTCTCTCTCGCATTCATGAAGCGTTCCGTATATGTGCGAGAGAGACAGAGCGACGAAACGCTGGGCGGGGGCATCCCGCGCGCGGTTCCGTGCAGGGTAGGCATCCCCCGGAAAGACCTCCCTCCCCCACCCCTTTTTCCAAGGCCGCAGATGCTTATCCGCTTGCAGCGGCTTGCAGTGTGGGTGCACGCAGTTCAAAGTGCATTAGATACCGCCGCGTGCTTTCAGCAAATGGGATAGGCCAAACACGAGCGAAAACAATAAAAACAGTACAATATGATCGGATATCAGAATTAGCCTTTCTTAAAGGGGGCGTCTACTAGTATTTTTTGTCCCAAAACTTGAATTTTAAATTCGTTGCTAAATATGTTTTTGAGGGTGCCCATAATAACGGTAGAAGATGGCTGAGCACTTAATTCTAATTTCCTCGAATAGGGTATGTGCTTGAAACGTAAGGTGATATGTGATAACGGTAAATCCTTCCCGATAAGAAACTTTTAACGCGTTTATCTCGAAACGCTGTCTTTCAAACTGCTACATCATGTCGCAAAAATGTCTTTCTCTATTCTTCTTTTAATGTTCAGACCCTGGCGACTTAAGTTAGTCTTATAACCGGCAGCCTGCGATATTTTTCCGGGATGTGGTTTTCAGGATGCCAGCAGGTTTCTTTTTCGGTCACGTCTGAAGCGAGAGTGAGAGTGCAGTACGCAGACGGCCCTACGACTGTAATATTTCGCACCAGTACATGTGTGAAATTTTGATATGCCGATTTTGATGTTCCGATGTCAGCAAATAATTTCCCGCCCGTACGTAAATTCTGTTTATGGCCGTGACCACAAGCTTACCGTGTACCCGTACTCGGCCATGTCGACGCGCGTTGTTGGTGTTCCTCTGATCGTTGCTCCGTCCGTCGGGCGACTGGCGACGCGTGCGGCGCGCAGTGAGTGACAGTGACAACAGTGACGAGAGAGGGAAGCCCCGCGATACCGGGAGGGAAACCCGGGCGATAGGAGAGAGGGAGCGCATCGAAGCGACCCCGCGGGGAAGGGTTGCCGCGGGTAGCCGCGACCAGCGGGAACCAGTGGCATTGCATCTCCAGCCGCAAATCCCACCCCAATTGGGTCCCCCTCCTTAGTTTTGGCCCGTCTTGTCGTACTTACAACGTAGGAATGTAGCTCGGACACTACGGCTGGAGCTTCCACCACCCTCCTGGGTACGGCACGGCCACTACGGAGCCGGCTTTGCTGCGCCACCGTTTTTCCTCTAGTCACTTTTCTTAATTATGGGGTTATGAATATATATTTTTTGGGGCTGACCCAAGGTGCAGCATGTTTACTGGCAGGGCGTTGCTTTGCCGGTGGTGTCGGGTGGTGTCGGGTGGACGGGATCACGTGTCCACTTGCAGGAAACCGTGCCAGTGCGGAAGGCGAGACGCGGAAGGGCCGGTGCGGCGGTGCGGTTGCATAACGAGCAACCAGGACCAGCAGACTGATTCCGTTAGTCATTTTCGTCGCTCTGTCTCTCTCGCACTTATTTGGGACGCCCCATGAGAGTGAGTGAGAGAGATCGACGAAAACGACTCTCGCTAACAGTCTGAGTGTGCTGCGTGTATCGTTCCCCGAACGATTGAAAAGTCCCGGGTGGAAAGCAGGACAGGGTCGACAACAGCAAAAAGCGGAAAGGTGTTTCGTCTGCGACTTACATATCCTCATCCTCACTACACTAAATAAATTCTTTATAATTTTCTCTTTATTTTGTTTGCAATCTAATTACGTCGATCTGCTTTAGTGCACGAATCTTACAAACAAATTTAAAATCTTCTTGTGGAGTGTTGAGGTTGGTGAACATGTAGAGTTTGCCTGTTGTCACTAGCAGACGATTTTCCTTCAAAACACCTGGTAACACAGCTTCAATCATGAAATTATTGCAAAATGTTGTGTCGAAACGAGCCTGTCTGCCCATAACAAACGTAAGTGACATTTGAAATGAATTTGCTACGCATTATCCACACTATCTACCGGATGTCGCGTGTTCTGTGCGTAGTGAGATGAAGTTAAGTGTCTCAATTTAACCTGCTGTCTGCTATCCCAGCATTAATATTCCAGGAAATATATTTTTCGCATATTTATTTAAGCATATTATACCTGAATAATCCCTAATTTTCTGTTTTTTCTTAACTCTTCTGTTCAGCTCCTCTCTTCATCGTTACAAAGAATTGGCACAGAGCAGACGTGTTCATATTCGTCTGGAGCACCAAGAAATTTACCGGAAGATAATGTTATGAACATTTTTGATAGAAATGCCAAAAGGATTCAGAAGGAGCGAGCAGCGTTGGATCCGGAAGTAGCAGTGTTCGACTACTTAAAGGAAGAAGTTGGTTTTCGGTTATCTGAGCGGATTCTGGACATAAAACGGAAATTCGGAAAAGTTGTTGATTTAGGTTGTGGCCGTGGTTATGTATCGAAGCATGTGATATCATCTTCAGTAGAAGAGTTAGTGATGTGTGATATGAGTCCTTCATACCTAGAGCAGGCTGTTGGCCCGGAAGAAGGAGTCAAATGTCATCGCTTGGTAGTTGATGAAGAGAAACTCCCATTCGAACCCAATTCCATTGACATGTTTGTTAGTAACTTGAGTCTGCATTGGGTAAATGACCTTCCGGGAACTTTTGCCCAAATTAATAGATGTTTGAAAAATGATGGATGCTTTCTTGCGTCCCTTTTTGGTGGTGACACCCTCTTTGAGCTGAGGTGAGTAGGTATGTTTCAACTTTATCTTACAATGTAAGATAAGGAAAGATTGTTTCAAAACTTTGCTATAACATTTTCAGGTGTTCATTACAACTAGCGGAGCTTGAAAGACAAGGAGGGTTAGCAGCACACATATCCCCATTTGCAGATGTCCGCGACATAGGGGGTCTTCTTCAACGGGCTCAATTCACAATGCTTACAATTGATACTGATGAGATCATCATCAACTACCCATCCATGTTTGAAGTCATGTGGGATGTGAAAGGCAAGATAATGATTCATTTTTCTGAAGGAACATGCAAGTCAGTAGCTAAGTGACCTCTCATAAATGTTATATTATTGCAGGTATGGGTGAAAATAATGCTGCAAGAAATCGAAAGTTGAACATCCCAAGAGAAACTCTCATGGCTGCTGCTGCGATCTATGAAAATATGTATGGCAACAATAACGGCAAAGATGGAAGCAGAGCTGTTCCTGCATCTTTTCAGGTAAAATAATTCTAATATTTCTGATTTCTTGTGAAGTTATTCTGTGCTTGTGTCAAGAGATTGTTTCTTCCCAGGTTTATTATTTGCTTGGCTGGAAACCAGACCCATCTCAGCCCAAGCCTAAAGCAAGAGGTAGTGGACAGGTTTCCCTGAAGGATCTTCATCAACTTGATGAAATAGTGAGGAAACAAGGTGAAATTGAGTTGGACAATAACACAGAGAAGAAGTAGATTGTAGAAGAAAATAAAATTTTCATATAGGTTGAGATTCATTTATTCCAATCAATTGATTTTTCATCCGATCAACATAATTGTAATTAAACAATGGTTCACAATAGAAATTGTGCGACATCCCAAATGATATGTCTGAAAGGAGTGGATTCTGAACATAAGTAGTATAAAATTACTCTTAGGCAACACATTAAAAATTAGTTCCAATGCCATGGTTGAAAATAATACTGCTATATTGAATTTAAAAAGTACTTGGTATTGAAAAGTGCATTTGAGATTAAGTACTATTGCTATAGCAACATTTAAGTATCACTCTTTCATGTGCCAAATAATCTCTTAAGCTTGAAAATCAGTCACATCAAAATCAAGATTCTACTGAAAGTTCCAGGGTCCAATCCCATTATGCCCAACAGGGCATGAGGTCCTCTGTCACTCATTTAACTTAAATCTGGCAATGAAGAAAATGGCACACCTAGAATCAAGCTTCTACATCCAATAATACAGAAGCTAAGACAAATAAGGTGTTGATAGGTGCCAAGGGCTGTGCTCCTACCTGAAATAAAGCTACACAAGAACCAATAGCTAAAGAAATACGCATCTTAACTAAAATTAACCTAGGAGAAATATCGTAGTTGCCATAGACTCCATCTACTGGACAACTGAAAGAGTATCTTGTTTGAAATTGAGAGTTTGTCAGGTTAAATAAAAACAATATACAACACACTATTATCAAAAGAAATAACTGGAATGCTTAAGCAAAAAATGCTGTTTGCAGGACGGTTCTATCACAACCATATGGAATAAGGCCCTGTAAATAGTGCTAGATACTTAAGCAGTATTGAAATGGAATGAAAACACTAGAGCTACACAGCATACTGCAGACTGCCTTTGTCATAAAAAAGTTAAAACTTGGTCCAAATCTCAGTTATGAAAAATTTGCAAGATTAAAAATATCATTCAGTCTTCATAACAGCAAAATACTGTTGCTGGATTTTAACTGTTCAGAACATGTCAAAAATTTAAACATTCAAACAAACAAAAATGACATTAGTACAGAAGCAAGAACATGATTTCCATTGATTAGATACTACCCAGAAAATAAATGGGTACTTTTTACACTAAAAAAAGAGGAGGGGGATATTCACAAATATGATACAAGTTACAGATTCAATTAACTTAAGCTTAAAAAGTTGATCAAAATGGGTACACCTCTCAAATTTAAACAAAACAAGACAAACAAACAAAAATTAGTTGACTAAAAAACAGAACACATCACATTACAATGCACATCACAACCATTTCTTGAATTAGATAAGACTGCACTATATCATTTCTTTGTTAACAGCCTTAGCCTGGTTGGATGAATTGTCTGAATATTAAATTTGACATGATGATGAATGTCCCTACTTTGTAGCAGGAGAAGGAAGAGGTTTGCTGGCTTCGATTCCAGGTAATAAATAACCTGTACCTAATATCTGGTGTTGAAGTTTCTGAAAACAGACAAACAAAGATACAAAGATTAAAGCACAATGATAATGACAATACTTATGTAATAAAAAAACAAGTATATTGTCCAAATGCTAAAGTGGCAACTAAGGGCATGTAGGAATATTCATGCATAGCCAAAATACAATAACAGAATTTTCAAACCAGAAAACTCCTCACTTTACCAGCTGATGACATTAATTATCAATATATTGGATCCAAATTTAACAAAATATTCTTAAAGCAGTTCATTGGTTTCTATATTTAGATAAATTATAGTTATTTATTACCGATGGTAAAAGGCAAGAGTAGCAGCGATGACGACAAGCGCCACACTTGTAGTGATTGCAGCAGCACCTGCATAGCTTTTTGTTCCACAAGCAGGGGGGCAAATGGGAATGATAGTTTCTGAAAATAATAATAAAGGAGGCAAGCAGGGTTAGGAAACAAAATAAAAAAAACAACACAAGGCACCAATTATACAAAGGGAAATTTGAGCTAAAATGAAACAATATTACAGTAATTTTATCATGCCATATAAATAAAAATGACAGGCAAATAAAAGTTCTAAAAAGCTCAAGTCTTCTGAATCTCTAAAAAACCTAATTTCTGAATTAAAATACGAAATAAATGAAGGAATGTTGTAAGCTTTCCATAGAATAGAATTGAGCTGCTAGATACTACTAAACTTAGCACATTCTTCTAGGGTATCAATAAATTTCTTTCTAGCATCAATCTATCCATAATTTGGGTTGACATGGCAAATATTGAGATTTCAAAAGTATGGTAAAACACAAGCATGCTTACCGAACAGCTCCACTTGCTTCTCGGCAGTTCCAAGTTTGTTGGCAGCTTTGCACACATACTGACCATACTGTCTCTTCTCAACAGTAATGATACGAATAGTGGTGTCAGTAAACTCATCGGCTGTAGCAAAGTGGGAAATTCTGAAAAATTTAAGCAAGATTAAACCTTGATTCAAAGCATTCAGAATTAAAAATTCTTTAAAACCCAAAGATGTATTTACAGGTAATGTTGGTTATTGGAGAGCTGAATATCATCTTTGACCCAGACAATGGCAGGGGGTGGGTATGCTTCAATGTGACACTCAAGATCCATGTCATACTGTAAAGCCTGACCCAGTCGAGGCCGAGGAACAGTGATCACAGGCGCAAACTCAACCTCCACAGCAATGTTACGCCGAACACCTTTCCCAACTCCGTTTTCAGCAACACAATAGTAGGTACCTCGGTCTTCCTTGCGGATCTGAGCAATTCTCATCACATTACCCCTGCAAAGAAAGTCATATGGTAACATAGAACTGTATTAAAAATGGCTGAACTAGTTTTGAAAGTTCACTTACTTGTAAATAGATCCTCCGGTTGGCAGAATGGCATTGTTTTCTCTGCGCCATGAAATGCGAGGAATGGGCCAGCCATTCGAGTAGCACTCCAGGCGTACAGGTTGACCCTCACTCACAACAACTGAACGGGTAGAGTTATCAGAAATAACAGGGGGACGCCGTACTTGAAGCTCTACCTCAGCTGATATTTTGTTGATTACAGAAATGATGACTTGACATTGATAGTACCCTGCATCAGTTTCTTGAATATCTTTGATCTGCACAGTTCAAAAATTACAGACACATTACTTAAAGCCACACCACTTAACAGAATGATAGCTGCAGCTTGATGATGAAAGTAAACTGGCAAAAAACAAAAATACGTACCAGCAGAACATATGTCGAACTGGCAGTGTCATGACGCATGGTGAATCGTGAATCACGAATGATGAGAGAGCTTCCAGTTGAGATTGGTAATGGGTCAGATTGTCTGTTGCGATCGACTTTCATCCACAAGACGGGGTATTCTGGGGCATACTGAACAGAGCAAATAAGCTCCACAGTACCTCCAATGTCCCTAATTTGTTCTTGAGAAATGTATGATATAGTGGGGGTTCGTTGTGCCAACCCTGAAATTAGGAACACAAATGCAGACGCCATGAGTAAAGGTTAGAATGATACATAAAATGAACTAAACTTCACAATGAACGAACTCGACAAAACATTGTGTTTGGGTTAGAGGGCCGTTCCCTCCATTGATAACGCGACCACACCTAACCCAAAACCAAAAACATAACTAATTGAAAATTGTTTGAAAACTCTACGTACTGGGACGAAAAAAAAAAAATTGATAAAATAATTGAAGGAAGGAAGTAGTTAATAATCTTACCTGAATTAATACAGCATAACGTGAACACAGAAAATGCGACATACAGCATAGTCGCACCCATCGCAACGGCTTCCAAACCTGGAAGCACTAGGACCTACACAAAAATTAAGTTAGAGACGGTATTGGAAGTATGAAAAGTGGATCAACCGCAAACAGCAGAGGTCAGCCACTTTTCTCATCATAGTTCCATAAACAAATAAATATCAAACCTCCTAACAACAAACGATCCTGGAACTGTCACGGCAAGGCGTCAACCACTTTCAACCCTTAAAGTCAGCACAGTGGCTTTGAGTCACCAAGTCTCATTTTTATCGACGAACTGAGGCAGATGGATAAAAGCCATGATTTCAAAATAAACTTGAATTTAAATCAATCAGATAAAATGTATTTCTCTTTGTCTTTTCTTCTCTCGCTAATAAAAAGAAAACGTGAAGTTGCTGCAATGACAGCGTAGTGAGCAGGTGTGGTCACGCCCCCTCCCGCCAAAATTCGAAGTTGACCGCTTCCTGGTTCTGCGCTATCGCGTCACATAAATTTCGCGGGAGCAGGCCGCGTTGACCGCGTCTTTGCCGCCAGATGCGTTTTGTTTTCGAAACATTTTGATTACAGTTGTTCAAACTGACGTAAAGGGCAAGGCAGCGCCCGTTCGCGCGTTCGTTCGTTCGTTCGAGCCTGAGGCTGCCTGCCTGAGAGTCTTTCTACGCCTCGGCAACATGTTGGCAACGATTCCAGGCTCAAGGAAACTGTCAGGAAAAGGGGCCTGCTGTGTCCGCAGCTCGTTGTTGTTGTTGTTGTTGTTGTTGTTGTTGTTGTTGTTTTCGCTTTTATTCCTGTCGTGCGGTCCCGCATCCCTTTCTTGTCTTGTCCAAGCGCATCTTCGCATCTCCGCGGTGCTGCACTGCCTGCACCGTGCAGTGCGCTCTAAGTCACTGACGAAAATAGCTCGGGAAAGAAGGGAAAGCTGGTGGTGGGGATGGGGTGGGGATGGGGTGGCGGACGCCGAGTGCCGCCAAGCGGCCTGCCGGGCCGCCGGGCCTGCCCGCTCCTTGGTCCTCAGTCTCCTTCGAACATCAAAACTGACAACGTTACTGACCGACTGGGTCGGCACACAGCGGTCCGCCCGGACGCGAGTACACAGTGTAAACACAGCGTGGCCGTGCGCAGCGCGCGCAGCGTGCAGTGAGGTCGCTGACGATCCAAGCCCTGGTGCTGGTCCTGGTCGAGGCTGGTCGAAGCCCCAGCTCTGCGGACCCGGCCCTTTCGCCCCGACCCACGCTTCGCCGGCGTCGCCCGGTCTAGGTGAGCTGCCGTGTTTTGGGGTTGCCGGCCGTTGCACCACCGGACTAGTCCCCGACGGATGGGAATGTGATAAGGATGAATGGGCATCAACGCGACTCGTCGGGGGTTGCCTACGGACTCCAGTTGCAGCACTGATATTCCGAAGGGAATTCCCCCTAAAACGGAGAAGGGTTCATCTTTCTTGCTCTGGTACCCTTCAGGGGTGTCCGTGGCTACCCGGAGAGCAAATGAGAGGTGGGGGTCGCAGACGTCGTATGAAGGGTATGAAGGGTTTGGCACTCCTTTGTGAGGGGTGCCTCTCTGCTCCGCGCTGCGGCCGCCGCTCTGCCAACACCCACCTGCTTTTGGCGCAACCGAAGCGTAATATCGCAGCAGCAAGGCCAAGAAAAAGTTGGGCAGGCGTTGGTGATCGAACCGGGGGCTGTAGGCACGTCAACAGCCGCTGGGTGCAACCACGTGAGGCGGCCACGTGATTGGCCGGGGTTCAAATACCGACCCGGGGGACGAGGGCGACCGAGGGTCCCTGTAGTGATCTGCTATCTGCAGATCTGAGTACAATAGTTCCAAAAGTGTACACTAGAGATCTCGATATATCGAACACGGTAGTTCCTAATCTTGTTTCCTTTTTGTCACCCCCGCTGACCCTCGGCCCTGGGGCCGCCAGGCCGTGGTTTGGACCACTTGGCCAAAGGCCTGGCGGGCCTCGAAGGGCGATCAGCTGGCTGTGGGGAGGGGGAGGGAGGGGGCCTGGCAGCCACCCAGCCAGCGTGCCGTGGCGCGCCACGACTTCGCTGTGCTTTGCTGCGCTTAGCTGTGCTTCGATGTCATTCCGGCCGTTGTCGTCGGTTCGGGGGGTCCAGCGAGAGCACCTCGCGGCGAAGGCGTACTCCATGACCACGTGCACGGCGGCGGGCTATTTCTGGGCGCCGCACAGTGCACGTGCAGCCAGGGGATGGCCGACAACATCGTTTATTGCCCCTGTCGTCGGGCAGGCGGGGCTGGCGGGCCTCGGGGAAGTCCAACGGGTCGATCCGCGCGGCGCGCCCTCCGCCTCCAACACGTGGGGCGTGGACCCCGGCAGGCCCGGCGCGGCCCGGCGCGCGGCCAGGGGCCGGATAGAGCCAGCGAGGCAAGGCCGCCAACCTCTGGCTTGCCGAAACGCTTTCTACGCAATACACCTCGTGGCTCTATTTTTGTTGTGACGTGGCTGTGCGTCTTTTGGCGCGGGGCGGCGCGGCAGTGGGCACTGCACGGCACGGGGGCTGCGGCGTGTCGACTCGCGCCGCTATTTCGGTGTTTTGACGGAAGGAGAGGAAGGGTGGCGTCGGGGGAGGAAGCTGCGGCCGCAGCGGTGACCCGAGCCAAGCCGAGCCGAGCCAAGCCGAGCCGAGCCGAGCCGAGCCGAAGCCAAGCCGAGCCGCAAAGCCGCTCGTTTGCTTTCTTTGAGAAAAATAAAAGCGGGGAGGGCGTCAGCAGGTTTGAAGCAGCGCGCCTTGGGCGGGAACCGGGCCGAGTCCGAGGGCGTTGGACGCGTTGGACGGCGTGACGGTGAAGGTGCCGCTGACCGTCACGAGCCATCACTATGCCCCCACGGACCTCAGCTCTCAGCTCACGCTGCCAAATTTCTCATAAGAGGCAGGTCGTTTTATTTTATCGCACCTCGGCACGGCAAGACGACAAGACGGCCAACATGCGGCCCCGCGCCCCACGCGCACCGCGCACCGCGTGGCATTGACCTTGCCCGCCTCGCCAGCCAAAAGTCACACGCTCAACGTGAGCAGCCCTCGTAAATTTCACCGCGAAAAAAAAAAAAACACGAAGGCACAAGCAGCGATTGCAAATACTCGAACCCACGTCTCGTGCCATTGAAAACGATGCTCCTACCCTCGTGGCTGTCTGGTGCACCATCGGTCAGTCGAAGTGACGTAGGTGCAACTCACAGCCACATGCTGCGCCTTGGCACGCATCGCGTACTCGCCGATCGACTGCAATTAAAACCGCGAGGCAGGGCGGCGCGAGGGAGAGGGGGGAGGGAGACCGAATTAGTTAGAGCCCCTTCCGATCGGTGTAGACCACGGTGTAGAACGTGGTCGGCCTGGGCACACTGCCGCACTGCCGCGCCTCGCGTCGGGCGAGCCCAATGCCGCGCGGCGCAGGCAACGCGGCGGCCCAGGGTGTTGACAAGGACCTGCCGCGGTGGGGGCGGCCCAGCTAGCACCGGCTAGCCCGGGGCGGCCTGCTTAGGGATGCATTTGGACAGCATTACATGATGCGCAGCAGACTGCACCAAGCGTGCCGCCGTCAACACCAAAAGACTCGCCCCGCGCATGCGTGCTCAAGACCAGGCTCGGACTGGCGCCCAAAAGGCCCCGGCAGATAAACCCGCAAAAGGCCCCCGATCATCATTGTTTTTACCCTTCATGACCAACTTTGTGAGGCTGCCGCTCCCACACAAGTTGCGGTCAATAGCCTTCCCGTACAGGACATGAAAGACTAGGGTCTTAAGAATTCTAGGGCGTCGAGGGAGGCCTTTTACGGCAACTAGATTGTACACAGTGGCCGTCCAAAGTCAGCAAAATCAGCAAATTTCCGAGATTCGACCACTTTTTGACCAACTTTGGTCCCAAAATCGTTGCGGTCAAAGGCAAAATCGTTGTGGTCAACGTCTTCCCTATACAGGGCATGAAAGAGTAGGGTCTTGAGAATACTAGGACGTTGAGGGAGGCCTTTTACGGCAACTAGATTGGACACAGTGGCCGCCCAAAGTCAGCAAAATCAGCAAATTTCCGAGATTCGACCACTTTTTGACCAACTTTGGTCCCTAAATCGTTGCGGTCAAAGGCAAAATCGTTGTGGTCAACGTCTTCCCTATACAGGGCATGAAAGAGTAGGGTCTTGAGAATACTAGGACGTTGAGGGAGGCCTTTTACGGCTACTACATTGGACACAGTGGCCGCCCAAAGTCAGCAAAATCAGCAAATTTCCGAGATTTGACCACTTTTTGACCAACTTTGGTCCCTAAATCGTTGCGGTCAAAGGCAAAATCGTTGTGGTCAACGTCTTCCCGATTCAGGGCATGAAAGAGTAGGGTCTTAAGAATACTAGGACGTCGAGGGAGGCCGTTGGCCGCTACTAGATCGAAGCAGTGGCCGCTCAAATTCAGCGAAAACGGCTACTTTCGGAGATTCAATCACTTTTTGACCAACTTCGTGACGTTACTGGTCACAAATCCAAAGGCCCCGGCAGATTTTTCTGCCTGTCTGCCCTGGCCAGTCCGAGCCTGCTCAAGACGTGCGCCGTTTGCAGAGCAGAGAGCAGAGCGCCACCGCGTGCGTCTCAGGCTGAGACTCTCAGCGAGCGGCACTCACAGCAACAGCACCCCGGGGCGCACATCGCACACGGCCCAAATTTCGCCACCGCTCTAGATCGCGGGCCAGGCCGCCAGGCCAGGCGCTTTCCACGCGGGACGCGTGAGTTTCGGCGGAACGGTACAGTAGCCGGGAAATCCCAGCCCGTCCCAGCCCGTCCCAGCCCGTCCCAGCCCGCGGCAGTTGGCAAGGCTGCCCAGTCCGCCGCCCAGGTGCGTTAACGCCCGCCAAGCCAAACTCGAAGCGCGAAGCTGGCGAAGCTGGCGAAGCACACAGGGCGGGCGAAGCGAGCAGGCCTAAGCCCCGCGGTGCGCCGTACCGGGGAAACAACAAGGAACGCCGCGGCGATCAGTGTCAAGTGGGGGACGTATATTTGAACTTGCCGCCCCGCCCCGCCCCGTGCGCCGTCCACAAGTCAATACCCCCGTGAAGTGGTGCAGAGGGCTGCCGCGGCGCCCGAGACGCAGCCAAGCCCGAGCCGTCGGGGCGCGGGGCGCGGCGCGGCCAAAGACATGCTTTGTCCCGCCGCGGCAGTCTCGACAGCCCCGGCGAGCTCCTTTCGCGTGCAGTCAGTGACCTGCAGCGGGCCACTTTGTGTCGCCACGAGGCCCCGGGGAAGTCGAATGTAAACAAGGAAAGCGGAAGCCATCTTTTTAGAGATCCGGATCGGGCACCCAATTACCGACGGTCCAAAATTTTGTAAGAAACTGGTTGGAGGGTCCAAAAAAATAATACTGTGCAGTTTTATGGATTTATTTTGAAGTTTTGAGGCCAGTGGGCGATGACCGCTCGCCCATGTGGATTTCAAGGCCTTGTTGACGGACTCTGGCTGGACGCTCCTGTCGCGGTCGTGGCGGTCTCTCCATGGTGGCGGTGACTGCTCCGCCCGCCGTGGCAGGCGGCCGTATAAATAGCGCTGGCACTGGCACGCCGCGCTGCAGTGCGTGTGCGAGTGCGAATGCGAGTGCGCCGAACTGCCTCTCCGCTTCTCAGCCTCCGACATAACGCACGGAAAGCGATAAATATACCGCGCGCCTTCGCTGCCTTCGCCTTCGGCCGGCCGGCCGGCTGGTTTGCTTGCTGGCTTTCGTCCTGAGCGGCGCGGCGCATTCGCGGACGTGCGTGACGAGCGTGCACCGCCCTCGGCGCCCTCGGGCAATGCATCACCGCCGCCTCCTCGGGGCGGGCACCGCGCGCGCACCGCCACCGCCTCGCCCTTGTGCGGCGAACGGCTGAGGGCAGCCTGCCCGGCCTGCCCCTGCCGCCGGGTTCCCATGCCATGATCCCCATCCCCAGCAGCATGTCCTGCCCTGCTTGCCCGTTGGCAGGGACTTCCCCACTTCCTTGCGGCGTGCCTCGTGACATGAGGCAAGGCACGCCACGCCACGTGGTACACGGAACGGCCATAAAGTCTCGTCCCGACGTCCCGACGGCCAGCAGTCCGTTAATTATTTGGCAGCATGGTTCAATTAGGAGGATTGTTGCTGGGCTCGGTCGCTACGCGGGTCGCTACGTCTCGGCGTCGGCCGACTGGTGAGAGGCCCTGGCTGCAGCCGGGCCTGCACAGCCCCTCGCTGCCGCCTGCCTGTCCGCCTGCCCGTCCCGCGGCCGAGTCCCTGTTTACACCCGCGAGCCAAAAGAACCAGGGTCATGGTTCAGGGAAGAGATTCTCCCAGACAGTGGGGGGTGGGAGACAAGGGCAGGGTGGCCACCGACCGGGAAAACCGGGAAAACCGGGAAAAACCCGGGAAAATAAAATCTCCTTGAAAAACCGGGAAAAAACCGGGAATTTCATATTGAAACCGGGAAAAAGGCGAAAAGGGCCTGCGCTGCTTGTAGGTCAATTTCTTCTGAAGGTTCAGTCGTAGTCGTCGGCGCCGCAGCAAGGGGTACTCAACTCAAGATAATCATTGCACGTCTAGCTGGTAATCAGTGAAACAATCAACATCATCCAATGAAATGACAATCATACTTTCGGGGATTCAATCACTTTTTGACCATTTTTGCGAGACCACTGCTCCCAAACTATCAGCGGTCAAAGCCTTCCCGAGGCGGGCCACGAAAGAGTAGGGTCCTCAGAATAGTAAGGCGTCGGAGGCCATTGACCGCAACTAAATTAGATGCAGTGACCGCTCAAAGTCAGCAAAAACGGTGATTTTCTGAAATTCATTCACTGTTTGACCATTTTTGCAAGACCACTGCTCCCAAACTATCAGCGGTCAAAGCCTTCCCGAGGCGGGCCATGAAAGAGTTGGGTCTTTAGAATAGTAAGGCGTCGAGGGAGGCCTTTGACCGCAACTAAATTGGATGCAGTGACCGCTCAAAGTCAGCAAAAACGGTGATTTTCTGAAATTCATTCACTGTTTGACCATTTTTGCAAGACCACTGCTCCCAAACTATCAGCGGTCAAAGCCTTCCCGAGGCGGTACATGAAAGAGTAGGGTCTTTAGAATAGTAAGGCGTCGAGGGAGGCCTTTGACCGCAACTAAATTGGATGCAGTGACCGCTCAAAGTCAGCAAAATCGGTGATTTTCTGAAATTCATTCACTGTTTGACCATTTTTGCAAGACCACTGCTCCCAAACTATCAGCGGTCAAAGCCTTCCCGAGGCGGTACATGAAAGAGTAGGGTCTTTAGAATAGTAAGGCGTCGAGGGAGGCCTTTGACCGCAACTAAATTGGATGCAGTGACCACTCAAAGTCAGCAAAAACGGTGATTTTCTGAAATTTATTCACTGTTTGACCATTTTTGCAAGACCACTGCTCCCAAACTATCAGCGGTCAAAGCCTTCCGAGGCGCTGCCGCGCCCTGAAAAAGCGCCTTTGAACCACTAAATAACCTAGAAAAGCCTTAATTTTGACCGGGAAATACCGGGAAAAAACCGGGAATTTCATTTTTGGAATTGAGTGGCCACCCTGAAGGGAAGCGGGGGGCTTTTGCGCGTCTTTTGGCGCTGCGAGTGGGAAAGCGTGTCGCGTCGCACCGCGGTCATGGCATGGCACGGCACGGCACGGCACGGCACATGGCGCGCGTATCCGCATGCATGGCTGCACGTTATTTCGGTACCGCTACTTCTAGCGGGCCTAAGCACCCGACCACACCGCACCGCAACGCGCCACCGTCCCAAAAGGAGGTTGCCATTCTATTTCGATCGAGTGCCTGCCCTGCATTGCCCCCTGCAGTGCACCCTGCAGTGCCCTGCCCCCGTCCTGCACACTGTAGCGCTGACGCACCTTGTCTGTTCCAGACGCCCAGGCGGACACCGCCCTCGCCGCCGCCATGCCGACCGAGTGCATCTCGGAGCAGTGCCTGACGAACCCGCTGCAGCGCGAGCTGGCGGACAGCATCATCAGGATGGTGCCCCTCGACGACATCCGCATCCTGCTAGCGTGCGGAGCCAAGGTACGAGGGAAAGCACCGCGCGGCAGACAGAGACAGGGCGACGGCCCGCGTCCCGGGGCGAGGGGGGCCGGCGCTTGTCTGGCACGCTGCCAGAAACGCACAAGCACAACACTGCGCACTGGAACGTCCTTTGTGCGCGTTGCGCGGGCACGTGCACCCGGCCGGCGACACAACAACAAAACACGACGCAGCACAGCTACGCCGCGGCGCACCGCGCGTGGCGCTTCGGTTAATTTTAATTTGCAAAACGGATGGGCTTCCTCGGGGGAAGCATCAGCCGAACGCCGCGGCCGTTACTTTGCCTGCAAGGCTTGACTGTTGTTCGTTGGGGTGCAGGTGAACGAGCCGGTGACGCAGGGGCTGCGGCCGCTGCACTACGCCGTGTGGCAGCGCTACCCGGAGGCCGCCATGCTGCTGCTGGTGCGCGGCGGCGACGTCAACGCCCGCGACGAGTGCGGCTACTCCGCGCTGCACCTGTCTGCCGAGCACGGGTACGCGGTCATGCTGGAGCGCCACCGTGAGGCCGGCAGGGGCTCCCGGGCTTGGAGAAGGCCGGAGGGTACAAGGGTTCACTTTGCCCGCAGGTACACGGAGCTGGTCAAGCTGCTGCTGCTGCAGGGCGCGCGAGTGGACTACCGCGAGGACACGGACGACCCCTTCCCGCGCACCACCCTCTGCGACGAGCCCCTCCGTCTCGCCATCCGCAACGGCCACCACGAGGTGAGCTTCCTGCCGACCTCCGGCCGACCCTTCCCGCCGACCCTTCCCGCCGACCCTTCCCGCCGACCCTTCCCGCCGACCCTTCCCGCCGACCCTTCCCGCCGACCCTTCCCGCCGACCCTCGTGCGAAAAGGGTTCTGACCGGCGCTGTGTGCCCTGCAGGTGGCACGCGTGCTGCTGGAGAATGGCGCCGACCCGAACAAGCGCTACTTCTTCGGCTCGGAGATCAACCTGGTGTCGCCGCTGGACTTGGACTTCATGCGGCTGCTGCTGACGTACGGCGCCAACCCGGACGCCGTGGACCGGGCCGGGCTCACCCCGCTCATGAAGGCGGCCAGGCTGGCGCAGGTAGGCGGCCTTTCGCGTCGAAGGTGTCTGCATTTCGCTCGGTCTCGCCGTGTCAAGTAACCGGGGTTGGTGGCGCTTGGCGCGCTTCGCCTCCAGGGCATGGAGTCGGTGCTGCTGCTGCTCTCCTTCGGGGCCAACGTGAACGCGCTGACGGACGAGCGCCACGACTTCCGGTCCGTGCTGCACTACGCCGTGCTGTCCGGCAACCTGGCCACCGTGAACCTGCTGCTGCGGCAGGGCGCGCGCGTCAACTTCCCCGCCGACTACCAGAAGCCCACGCCGCTGCAGCTCGCCATCCTCAAGGGCGACCCGGACCTCGTGCGCATGCTGCTGCAGGCCGGTACGTCACGCGCACGCGGCCACGCGGCGCTGCTAGGGCCACCGCCGCCACGGCCTCCTCGAAGGGCCAGAGGGCTCTAACGCACGTCGTCGTTTTGCAGGCGCTGACGTGAACGCCTCCTCCCCCATCATCGGCACCGCCCTGCACGTCGTGTGCGCCGACAACATCCCCAACCGGCTGGACATCCTGCAGCAGCTGCTGGAGGCGGGCGCGGACCCCAACGTGCTGGTGGACTCGGACGAGGGCCCTCCCTTGAGGCCCGTCCTGGCCGAGTACCTGGCGTCCAACGAGGCGCAGCCCTGCGCCGTGGTCGTCGGCATGCTGCTGCGCTACGGAGCCAAGGTGAGTTGGTGTGGCGAGGCGTGGCGGTAAGGCGGGGCGGCCAAGCGCTCGGCGCGCCTGCTAGCGCCTGCGGGAGCCGAGGTAGGCCACCCGCTCCGTCGCCACGCGTTACGGGACTGCCCGCCCGCGCGATCACAGGCGCTGGAGTCCGACGCGCTCAATGACTGGCGGTTGCCGTGCCCGTGCAGGTGGTGATGAAGACGCAGTTCCGCGACCCCCACGGCATCCTCAACTCGCTGCAGAGCGTCGGCCAGCACGAGGACGTGTTCTACACGCTGCTCGAGGCGGCCGAGAGCTTCGACACGTGCATGATCCGCCGGTCGCAGTTCATCAACGACGACCAGCGTGGGCTGCTCATGCGGCTGGCCACGTCGCCCTTGCCACTGCGACACCAGGTCAGTGGGTCAAGGTCACCCAAGGTCACAAATCAATGAATCATCTCGAGTTGCAACGAATGGACGTTTTGGTGCTCTGTGTCCACGGCAGGTCCGCCTGTACCTCCGGAGGCTGTTCGGGCCGCGCCTTCCCGACGTAACTCCGCAGCTGGAGCTCCCCACGCTGCTGCAGCACTACCTGCTCTACGAGTTCAGCTAGCGAGTAGCGACCCTGTCCCGGTGGTCCCTGGTATGTTTGACATGCAACTGTGGTTAGATGTTGATATTCAGTATTTGCTGGAAACAGATTGTGATATACTATTTCATGGGCTAGTGGACGGACAGAAGATGTGCGTGTACGTTTTCTCTCAATTGTGATCTTATTGTCATACTATACCAAATTATCAATGTTTATTTTGTACCTTATTAGACTCTTAGTTTTAAGTTCTGTAAATGGTGATGTTATAAGCAGACTATTTTTATACCTTTGTATGCGGCAGCAGTGTGTCTTGTATTTCTTTTTTGTTTGTTTGTATGGTTTTTGATGCAGGCTTACAAGGGTTTACAGAAAACAGCGTCCAATGCCCTTTCCAAAGCTTGGCTAAAATTGATTCCTTTTTTCCCATTTTTTAAACTCTGAAATGTCTTTGTCAATAAAGAAAATTGCATAAAAAAAATAATTTTTAATTTACAACTGTCCAAAGGGGCATTTAAAAATGTAAATGCAAATGGATGTTTTTCACAGCAATGTATTCACAACATTTACAAAGTTCATAAATGAACTGACACGAAAGCCATGTTTTTTCTTTCACTAGACACATAGCTATCTTTCTTCTGACACCATGGAAACAAGTGAGAACTAAATAAGTTGGCACAGTTCTAAGGACACAGACTTAGTCTATTTTACACTCAAGTGCATCAAACAAATGTTAGTACAACATAAGAGTCATCTGAAGAAAAAATTCATCTGTTCAGTTGACAAAGAAAAATGTGAAAAAACTTTGGCAACAGACAAATGGACTAGATTATAAGACAAGAAGTATGGGACCTTAAAGGGAACAAACATTACTACATCACAAATAAAAGGATAAGGACCTTTCTAAAAATATCACAAATCATCAAATTCTATTCAGATTATTTATGATTCAACTGGGTAAAAATCCATAAAAAGAAGACACAATCAGGGAGAAAAAAGGAAAAGCTACACAGCCGAACTGGGGTGATTAAAAAGTCACCATCCAGTTTTCCATAATAATGGTTCATTTGAATCCATAATCTTAGCTCTAAATATTTATCCTGGGATAAAACTAAAACAGGTACTGTAACAAAAGTAAAGTGTTATTTACTTTTTAACTCTTTTATCTGACATGGCTGGGCATGCTCGAATCACAACATCTCATTTCTATCATTTATCACAAGTAAAAGTGTTCAACAGAAAGCAAACAAATCAACAAAACAGATTATTTCACAACCTTTTATGACAAAACAACAAGTGTGATGACTTAAACACAGTCTACATAAAAGAAAGTGTTACTTACATAAATGCAACATAATTCAGAACATTCTCAAAGCAAATCCTTGCTCCTTCCAGAAGTAACAATACTACACCGTCTTATTTTACTTTGAACATCATTCAACACACCAACACAGACTTTTCAGACTTGCTTTTTTGGTCACAAGTCACAAAGGTACAAAAAGATGCAACAAACTACAAGAATTGTGAAGAAAACACTGATGAACAGGACTAGAATTAGAGCCATTAACCACTATCAATGTAATCAATCACCCAAATTTTACACTCTTCATTAAGACTACAAGTGATAATACTGTCTCTCTAGTATACTCTATGGTCAAACAATCATAAAAATCATTAATAAACTATATGATACTGCAATTAATCTGAAGGTAGTGAATTCTTTCTTAGAGCACGGTCTCTTTCAATTTCTTGCATGTGAGCTCTTCTCCTATGAGAGAAGCAATTTCCTGAGCTTGCAAATGCTTTGGTACAGTATGGACAATGATACGGTCGCAGACCATTATGTTGATTCAAATGAAACTGTAAACAATAAAAGCATCTTGTAAAAAGTAAAATCAAAGTTAGTTTCAACATGAGCACACAACAGTTACCTTCAAATCCTGATTTCGTTTAAATGACTTGGAGCAGATATTACAAACATGGGGCCGCTCATCAGAGTGAGAGACAAGATGAGATCGAAGAGTGCTTTTTGTAGGATAGACCCGGTTGCAATGAGCACATGGGAAGATTGTTAATTCTGAATGAGACTTTCTGTGTCGTATGAGGTTGACTTCTTTTTTAAATCTGCAAATAAAAAGACATGAATTATGTGTCACTATTTTCATTGAATGAGTTTTTTCAGAGATACAACTGCAGAACACTTACACTCTTAAGCAAATTTCACAGGCGAATTTGAGGTCTGTCTTATGTGTTTCTAGGTGACCTTTAAATAATCCTCTTTTCATAAAAACCTTTTTGCAGATAGGGCACGTATACGTGGTATATTTTATGCTTTCTGTTAAAGCAGATCTTTCAGGTTTCTTGGCACATTTTGAAACACTTGATGCTTTTTTAGCCTTCTTCTCCACATTCATCTCAGAGGAAAAATCTTCTTGGATTGAGGTAGTTTCTTTGTTGCACAAGTCAGCACGGTTTCCATTCTGGGCGCTTGGCTCCTCTTGGCTCCTCTTTTCAGTTGCAGAGTATTGGGGCTCTTCACTGGGTTCACAGATAGATTCAAGCTTATCTACATCTTCCCCACTCTTCTGCTTTATGATTTCCTTAAAATTATTAGGAGGTGAGTGTTCGCTGTGCCTAAAAAGTTATACATAGATTAATTAACAGCTATGACAAAATAAATTTTGAACTGCTAGCTTGCATATGCACCATGTATTGTCCTTTTCTTCTGTGGATTCCGATGACTTCAGATTGTCTTCTGGCACAGTGAGATTGTCTTTATTTCCAAAATAATTGTTTTCTACATTCTGTGGTAAGGTTTGCAGGTCATTATCTGATTGAACAGCCTCCATTCTGCAGGCAATAAATAAACTTTTGTAGCATGTAAACACCATGAGACTTGCACCAGTCCGGACTTCAGTTAGCAAATGTTGTAAGCTTACCCTGCATCTATTTGAGTGTCTTGTGCAGCGTCTTCACTTTGATCATCTTCGAGAAAAATCATAGGGTCGACTTGAACTTCCATTTCAGTTACTTCCTGTGATGTTAGTGATGCTATGGTGTCATTTATCTTGAAAGAAAATAAAATCTTTAGAGAATGCTACCTTAAACTAATATTTTTCTAATCTTGTGTAAGCCAGTGTACATACCACTACAGGTTCATGGACATAACTTGTCATAAATGTTTTACAAACATCTATAGCTGTCATTGGCAATTCTTTAGCCAATCTTGATAAATTATCCTGAACTTTGAGGGCATTTATAGCAAACCTGAGAGAAACCGACCATTATTAACCAGAAAAACAATGATCATGGGACATTAAATTTTAAGAGGAAAGAAGTCACAGTATACCTGTGCATTCCTTCAAGTTCCTCAAAGCATGAAGCACATATTTTCTTGGGTAGGCTGTCACTCGGTAGTACCTGCAAAAACAGAAAAGATTACAAAGTATCAGAAAAGCTCAATAATCTCCAGTTTGTTTACCTAACTAGACACATCAGATATCAAAACGTTATGAATGGACCATTTTAGAGGTAATTGGTTGAAATACTACGACATGCATTCGAATGTTTTCACAAAATCGCGCATAACTTGGAAATCACCTGGAAATGTAAATAAAGTCTGATTTTCGTCTCCACCTGCCGCCGTTTACCCTCATCACAGTAAATGTACAGGCCATTTTCAGTTTTTGAAGCACAAAGACGGCACAACTGTGGAAATTCCAACATTGCGGCGGTTAAATCGAGACGCACGACCAAAGATGATTCGGGCAGATTTCCACAACGCCCATCTTTTTAATTACAAAACATTAAATGCCTGCCAATTTGGGCTGTCATTGCAGACGACAGCAGACGACACATAAACAACCCTGTGTCGGTTCTACCAACATTATGAAGCTTGGTAAATTTTTAACCAAAAACATAGGTCTCAGCGTGTTTCTCTTTTATGTATCGCTTCTCTCGAAAGTGAATTAGCTTAAACTGAGTTAAATACATCACTGGATACACGCGATTCCCAAAACAGAACAGTAGAGCACTGTAAATAATCTTTTAATGACAGGTCATAACTTGTCTGCTATTCGCAGAATCTTGGTTTGTGTGTGTTGTTTTCGTTTTGAATGGTGGTGGAAGAGGTTAAAATCATCAAACTTACGATCCAAGAACGTTTGTTGGTGCTGCTTTGACATTCTCTGAGGAAAAAATAGTTCTTCGACGCTCACTGCACCGATGGAGGGTGTGGAAAAGACGAAGCGAGAAGTAGATGCAGAGATGTCTGACGGTTCGCAGGATGTAAAACCGGACACTTTCAAGAAACCCCAGCTATGCTTGGTGGGCCCTCGTAAGAGCAAAGGAGCGAAAGTTCGTGTCGTTGACAGCCCAGCGGAATCCAAGGAGAAAGAAGAGAAGGACAAGGGCGTCATTGCCGAGACGACGGACGCTGCCATGCCAGTTAGTGAACCCGAAGCCAGTGCACCTGATGTTCTCAAACCGCCAGCAGACCCAGAACCCAGAACGTCAACATCCAAGCCAAGAGCGCAGGGTGCACCTTCCCAGAAATTGAAGGAGACCCCGATACCATACTTGGAGCCAAAGTGGGGTGGTATCCCCACTGAACCATATAGCTTAGACATAATCAAGTCAGGCACTGTTCTAGAGCCGCTAAACCTTAGCACGAAATCGCACTATGTATTTGGGCGCCAGACTAACTGTGATGTCCAAATGGCTCACCCAACAGTATCAAGACATCATCTTGTTATTCAGTACAGTCGGGGCACTGAAGAGAAACCTCAGGGATTTTACTTATATGATTTAGGAAGTACTCATGGTACATTCTTAAATAAAAACAAAGTGCGACCGTCAATGTTCATCAGGTTGAAGGTAAGCGTTGATTTAATTTGTAATTTTTCTGTAACCTTTTCTTAAGTTTGATTTACATACTCACCATCTTCATTTTCTGTTCAGGTTGGACACCAAATTAAATTAGGAGCAAGCAGTCGACTTTATTTACTTCAGGGACCCTCCGAAGACATGGAAGAAGAATCTGAACTGACTGTCACCGAACTGAAAGCAAAGCGCCAGCAGGAACTTCATGAAAGAGAGTTGGCAGCAATCCATCGAAAACAAAGAGAAGAAGAAGAATTGAAAAAGAAAGAGGAAGAGCAAAAGAAAAGGGAAGAAGAGGGTATCGACTGGGGAATGGGTACGTCGTATATTTTATCAATGTAATTATTCATTTGGAACCTTTTCCTAACTTGTGTTTTTCTTGATTGTTCAAGGGGATGATGCGGATGAGGAGACAGATCTCTCGGAGAATCCTTATGCAGCCACAACTAACGAAGACCTTTATATTGATGATCCCAAAAAAACTTTACGAGGGTGGTTTGAGCGAGAAGGGCTTGAGCTCGAGTATGACGTTGAGGAGAAGGGCCCTGGACAATTCCTGTGTAGAGTTGAGTAAGTACTGTTGCAAAATTTGTTCTTTACTATTTTTAAAATCTATTCTAAACCTAAACTTAACTAATTTATTATTGTAGAGTTCCGGTTGAAGGAGCTCGTGGTGGCTGCATGGTGGCAGAAGCCATGCTAAAAGGAAAAAAAAGGAGGTAGTAGCACAGTGTGCTCTTGAGGCATGTAGGCTTCTGGACAGATTAGGACTTTTGCGGCAAGCCACCCATGGTTGGTATATGTGTCATAGTTGCTCAGCTCAAAAAATGCTCTCTTTAACCATAAATTAATATTTCAGAAAGTAGAAAAAGGAAAGCTAAGAACTGGGAAGAGGAAGACTTCTATGACAGTGATGATGATACATTCCTTGATCGCACTGGGGCTGTGGAGAAGAAGAGGCAGCAAAGAATGCACCAGGCTGGAAAAGGCGAAGAACAAGTAGAAACTTATCAGTCTTTGGTTGGTATCTAGCAAAATTAAATTTTTTGCTGGTACTGTATTAACATTTGGCACTAAGTTGTTTTTTTTTGGGGGGGTTTATTTTTGCAGTCTGAAAAACATTCAAATATATTGAAAAAATTGGAAAGTTCTCAATTGGAACTTCAGAAAGCTCAGAAAGATCTTGCTGCTGCAAAAGCTAAAGCTGCTCGTGATGAAGATGGTGACACATTAGACTCATTTATGAGCAATCTCTCAAGTGTAGGCTGCACAGACAAAAAGCTTGTCAGCAAATTAAAGGTTTTTGAATTATTTGTTCAATATTTTCCACATCTAATTCACATGACAAGACCTTCTACATAAAATATCTGTTTTCCCACAGCTGGAGCTTGCTGCATTAAACAAAGAGGAAGTCCAACTACGAAAACTTGTCAATATTGCCAGGCCAGCAAGCCTACCAGAACTTGTTGCCCCAGTGCCTGTTTCTGAAGCATCTGCAGCCAAAGACTCTAATGCACTGAAAAATAAATTAATGTCAGCAGCAAGGAAAAAAGCTAATGAGAAAAGAAAGGTATTTTATAATCTTGCTAACTAAGTAGCAGGGACTATTCACATTAAGAAGCCATCAACTTCTAACACCCATTCTTTTTCTGCATCCTAGGCATCACCTGGCACATCTTCTAATCATAACATAGATCTTGAAGCTGCAAATTCAGATGAAGAAGAAGAAGATGAGGGAAAAGAAGTTGACCAACTACCGAAGGGAGGAGAAAATCGAAGTATAAATAAGACTAAATCTGGCTCTGGAGAAACAGGTACTGTACTTTGAGAAGTTTTTGCCAAATGAGAGTTATTTGTGCATAGGTCTTTTATGTATTTATCAATGTTTTTGAATGTTTCAGATGAGAAAAATATGAAAGTCAAGCCAAATTTACAACAGAGTGTTACTATTGGGCCAGCTCGACCCGCGTTTTTGCAGGAACCTAATAAGACAAGTAAAGAGATTGAGGCGGAAGCAGGCTCTAGTGTGGAAGAACGCCTTCAGAGATCAGATATGAATAATGATGATGTTGATGCTAGTCACAATGACAAAGAAGATAACGATAATGATTTAAGTGGCAAGGAAGCAGAGAAAAGGAAAAAAAGGAATAGACGGAGATTACTTCAAAGGAACGAAAAGGTATGATGGTACAACTTTTGTAAATTCATATTTTAATGACATGCAGCTTGTTCTAATTGGTTTCCTCGATTCTAGGCCTTGGAAAGAACAAAAAGTCATTATGATGCATCTGATCCTAATTATTCTGTGTGGGTACCACCAGAGAACCAGACAGGCGATGGCAAAACCAAGCTCAATGAGAAACTGGGTTATTAGTATGGCTGTCTGTGTTTTGTAGAAAATAATTGTACTATGAACCTGGAAGAATTAGAGGGGTAAATTGAGAACACGTTCAATTAAATATTTTGTTTTATTGTCCACATATAATTATTTTCCTCGACTTGACTAGTCCTCAGCATTAAATGCATGAATAGTAACGTCCAATAAGATGATGACAAACAAGACTTTTGCACCAAGTCCTGTGACTTATGAGAAAATGAAATGCTGACTTTTACAGTTGTGTGTGTTTTTTTTAAAAGATATTCACTGACTAAAAATCACATTTCTGGACAAATCCTAATAATAAAGATATAATTTCATTGGACAGAAGTGTATTCATCTATTTTTGACACCAACAACATCTAGTTTAACAACAGATATATTTTAAAAGGGGTAAACATGTATCCGTGAGCATAGTGTGACCCAAAACAAATTTTAACATGGTTCACAAGTGATTAGTACTAAATGATACCATCAACAGATTTGGCTACAAAACTGAAGAGGTTGGTGTACACAAAAAGCACTTCAACTAAACACTCAATTCATCAAGATAAATTATGAAATAATGGTTAAGCATCATAACAAAATGAAAATTCATCACAATAGCTGAAAGATGGCAAAAAAGATAATAAAACTATTAGAATGGAAACAAAACATATTGAACTGATCTAACATGAAAGTAAAAATAAAGGAAGAAACCACTTTCCGTGATTCACTCAGAAAGAAGAAAAAGTACCTATATAAAAAAAGCTGTTCCATAAATGAAAGGCGATAGTTGTGGAGATGAAACATGAACACAAAACAAGAAAATCACAGATACACAAATGCTATATAATTTATATAACATAGAACTGCAATCTATCATAGAAATTGCACCAAAGAAGCTCTGGGATACCAGAAAGGTAAATTGTTATGAACAAAATGAAATTTGTGCTCAATATCTGGGACATGCATATTTCATAGAACATTCACAAGACAAGGACTTAATCAATATTTCATTAATGGAAATGTGACATAGATTTGGAGTATGTCGGACAGGTAGCAATGTAAAATAGTAAATCTCTAGGCATGAATTTATCGTCTATAGGTTTCAAGATCAGCAACATGGATGATGAGGCATGCACGCAAACATAACCAGATGGTAGTAGTTCAGGCAAGAAATGAAGTTTGAATATTCAAGGCACATATGAAAATAGATAATATCAACTGAGTGGCTGTCAAACGCAGTTGAGGTACATTTTGTTGCTTTTATGTTGAAACCACTTACTAATTACGCTCTAAGTTACAATTACAGAAGATCCTGGTGGGCCATTTGTTTCCCTAATTCATTTCGTTCATCACACTCTATCAGTCGGAAAATTCCGTCCTCAGTCTCCTTAAACAGTCCTAAACATCCATCATACATACCGCAATTCCCATAAGACATTTGGTAGGCATAAACCCTGCACTTCTTCATTGAGAAGGTTGAAATCAACAAATGAAATTTGACTGCAATGCAAATGTCTTTGTTACATGGCTTTTCACAAATATAAGATGTATAATAATAAACAAAATTGACAATTGGAAGTTGTTAAAAGCAAGAGGCCACAAGGAATATGAAAAAATGGAAAATAACGCCAAGTAGTGATGCTTAAAACACAGGAGGAGTAAATGTTTACTTGAGTCCTGGATTTGTGAGAAAGGCAGGACCAGGGCAGGACTGTGTATGGAAACCAACATATCTCGACTCAAATATCAGCAACTGGTACCAGAGGGTCAAAACAACAAAATATAAGAACTATGGTAACACAAAAATTTATAAAAAAAGGGTCAGCTATTAAGATAACAATATACACTGTACATTAACAAGTAAAGAAAATTTCATTATAACAATAGTCTCATGAATAAGCTTTGAAATCAATACCTTCAGTCTATTTCATCTTGGCACAGATTAATCTAAATTTAAACATATTTCCATTAACAGTACACAAACAAGCTTAACTCATCAATAGACCTACTTGACATGATTTGACTGGCGACTGAAATATATAATGTGCTTTCATGCTTAGCAAATGATATGGACAAACATAAATACCAATTAAAAGGCACAATAGAACATGAAACAGGCAGCAAATAGACACATACATAAACATGTAAATGTATTTCTTAAGACAAGGTCAAACAGATTAATGACTTGATAAGGAATTTCATTCTAGATTAAATGTTTCTGAAATTTCACGCACATACACTTTGGGAAAAAAACCAACCTGGGAAAAAATAGAGAGAGAAGAGATAAGAAAGGGTAGGTAAAATATGAGTACAAGCGGAGTAAAAAACAAACCAGGGCTGGAAATCTTACCCGATCGTTGACTTTGCCTTTCCACCAGCCCATGTGGTCAGCCTCCTTACTCAATACAACGACTTGAGCACCTTTCTTTAGAGGTAACTGATTTGGTTCCGTTGGATCATAGTCTAATTCAGCAACAACAACTATTCGACGGAATGGCCAACGCAATTTAACATGTAACCTGTGGTTTGAAACAAAGAAATATTACATGTAAGACTATGAAAGTAAAAATTCTAAGTTTTATTTTAGATAGGGGTGCTTACCCGCTGAAGTTTTCAGCAAGACTTGTGTGCTCATAGCAACTTATCAGTTCCACAACACTTCGAAAGAATCGAGATTCAGACAAATAGTAATGAGGAATATTGTCAATTTCTTTTTCATACACTTTCATATGCTTAACCTCATTGTCAGCCCTGCAAATGGGTGCATTAGTAAAGCCAAGAATGATTTGAAGCAAAGGCGACCAAGAAATATCTCGCTGAAGTAATACTTACTTCATGCTTAAGGCATATGCAGTCTCATTGGGGTGAGTTGGTCCTTGAGGACGAATCCTCAACAAATATGTGCCATCAGCAGTTTGTTCAAGGAGACTGGAGGCTTGATCACGCCCCATCTCTCCAACAAACCTTCAAAAAAATATATACTTAGTCAAGTCACCATTTATTTTAAAGGGATTGGAAAACATGAAATTGGGTGAAATTAAATACCATAAATACTCCTTAAGAAGATCCATATCATGAGTCCATGAACGTCTACTTCCTTCTGCTACTAAAGGCAATGGTTGAGGAAGCTACCAAGACAAAAGCAGGAAACAGTTAGCTGAATATAGAAGAAAAAAATGAAGTGACAAGGAAGTAGAGAATTACCTGTATTGTGTGGTTTATAGCATTGGGATCAGAGTCATGTCTTGGGCTAAGTAATGGGGGCCTAGGTGGCAGTTCTGGAGGAGGTTTCATGCCACATCGTCCAGCAAAAGGAATGCATGGCTTGTGACAAGCAATTAAACATCTTTCACATCGGTATCCCTGCATCAACAACAATCAGAAGAACTGTGAACAAGGCCAATGCAAAAAATAAGTTGCATCATAATATTGGGTATAACATAAATACCTGAAATATTCTTCCTTTCAAGAATTTACTGCAGTGATTGCACGTAGTAGGCTTCTCAAATGTTGTCATTTGGAAACGATGATCAGTGTTACGGCAAACAGCTGGTTCAATGTTGTCACTAAAACAACCAAAAATATTTTATCTTAACTTCTTATTAACCAGCATAGACTGCCACAGTAAAAGAAAAATCAAACATATTACTTACAGGGCGTCCTGAATAGCTTTAATCCACTTTCTCTTTTGATCCTCTGTACGGGCATACATTGTGAAAGCAGTACGCTCACTTTTGCGAACAAGTAACCATTGGTAACTCCATCGGGAACTTTGATGAAGAACCCGTCGATTTGTGACATCTTCAACTTTGTACTCTCGCAAAGGAAGAGATTCTTTGAAACTGTACTGGTCACCCTGTCAATATCAAGAAATAGTAAAAATTCGATTGTTTGCAAAATGAAACTGTTCTCAATCATATAATAAAAAAAAAACTTACTCTGACTGACTTGCACATGAGCATAACTTGATCAAATATGAACACATATCTGTATTGGAAATAGAGTGTGTTACTTAATCAACATCCAGTTTGAGATCTGTCTTGATTGTATGTATAATTTACACAAATCTTACCTGACTTTCACTTTCTGGTCATTGTGTGCCTTGATTCTCAGCTCTCCATCTTTTAGCAACCGTCCATAATCTTTCAGCTCTGTGTCCTCAGGCATAACCCAATCAGATATACTCTCTTGAATATCATGCATGATCTGCAAGGTATCACTATCTCGCTTGACTTCATTGCAATATTGAGCAACATCAACCATTGCTTCTTTAGCACGTTCAAGACCTCTAAAATCATCATGATTCTGAAACATGATCAAAAAAGTTAAATGATTTCGGTATATTCTACTTAAAAAAAACAAAAAAAAAACATACAACATAATCAAGAGCACAGATGTTTACTTACATGTTGAGTTTCACTTATGAGTTTGTCAAGGAGCAAATGATACTTAAGTATTCTTTGCATTGGAACAGAAAGTATATCTCTTAACTTAAATTTTCCATTGTTAGCATCTTGTTGGCATCTCTGAAAAGTAACAGAGAAGTGAGGGAACCAAAACTCATCACAAAAAATAAGGAATATTGACAATATCTGATAAGTGACTCACAATCACTTCCTGGTTTATAGTATTGTCTTTAGTGCAAAGTTCCTGGATAAGATTTTGAGCACCAGTAAGGTTTGCACAATAATCCCCATATATAAGGAATTTTTCTCTCCAATTTATAAAAACTTCACTTAGACGAAGGGTACTCTGAGGAGTGCAAGCTTTTCGAAGTTGGCTATGAAAGCCTGCATGAATTTCAGAAAGCTCCTGGAGAAAAGAAAAGAAACAAAAGTCAGCATACCTAAAATGAATCAAGTGAAATTTTAACAAAATAAATTACCTTAATTCCATGGAAGACAATTTTCATATCTTCCTCTTTTATGATAAGCCCCAAAGGTCGCATGAAAGATCGTTGAAGTGTAGATAACACATCAACATATTTTTTTTCTGTTTCCACAAGTTCATTGATGACATAGTCTCTCTTTTCTAAGCTGTGAGTAATTGGACATGGTACCTGAAAAGAAGACAACAAGACATTGGTGGATGTTAGCGAGGAAGGCAGTACAAATTTTTAGGTTTAAATAAGCAGTAAAGAATATGGGAACCCAAACTTTGCAAACACATTAAGCCTCCTATGGCAAACTCATGAATAGAAATAAAACTGGAAGGAATACAACAATAATTATGCTTGATGATGAAAACCGATTACATTCAGAAAGCAAATTTAACAGTTGCATGCAGTTCATGAAAGAACAAAACATTTGTTGAGGATGGAATTTTATGATGGAGAAATACCATGCAAGTAGATTTCAATATTTAAGCCAATACAAATCTACCATCGTAAAATTATCTGACTAGTAACAAAAAATGACATGTTGGTCATCCCTACTACCAGCGAAACACCCTGGAACTTACGTTCTCGAAGACCTGCTATGGTATCATTCATTAACTAATGCATTACAAACCCAAAATTGATTGAAAATGAGTGATTTAATTCAGGAGGGCCATTTTACAATGATTAAAACAACTTTTGACAACTGACCACTGCCATTTCGAGCAAATCAGCCGCAACAGAGTAAGAGAGATGTACTGTAAGATAGATAGATTTAAAAATGAATCAAAAGTAGTGAAAATTGTCACCTGTACTTGCACATGCTGTTTATGAATGGAGCAAAGATCGTGGTAAACTTCCTCATTTTGAATGTGAGAGTAGTATGTTCCGTATTCCTCCACATCAGAGCCACCTTGGATTGCTTCATCCTCACTAAAACACACAATATCAACAGCTACAAGCCAAGACAAGCTAGCACATATCTATCTATAAATATTAAACATTGCACAAAAACTACAGTCATGTTCAGGTAACTAAAACAGGTTTACATCAACTGTCTATTTGACAAAGCAATACACTAGCAAAGCTAAAAAATAAAAATAAAATTGGATTATGAGAAAATGAAAGGAATTTTAATAAAGGAAGTTTTCACCCCATTAGAAAGTTATTTCAATTGCTTAAAAACATGATAAAAAATAAATTTTCTTTGATAAAGCCACTATGGACTTTTCAGATAAACTGTGGAGAATCTAAAATGAGAGATAAAGCCACACACAACTAGACAGCAAGGCACAATCCAAACTACGTGCCAGAAAAACAAGCTACTTTCTGTTTGTGTTAAAGAGGCACTCGACTTGTACCTCATTGGTGAATGTGACATAAAATAGATCCTCATATAGCTCTTCTTCAACTTCACCAAACTTAGGACAAGGGATAGTGAACTGTAACCAGGGAACGGTTCTCCACGTTTCCCAAGCTGGAGTAATGTCAGGATCTGAAGGAGTCTCAACACTGGAAATTCACACACAATACATGACTCCAAATAACCCCACGACTTCTTCCATGCGTTTCATCTTCAATCATATAATGAAGAAAACAACTTACTTTGCATGTAAATTTCTATAGATGTCTTCTTGCGATAGGGTTCTTGGTTTGAATGAAAATCCACTGAAAGTGTACACAATAAAAATGCATTAATCACAGTACTGAAAAGACGTGCACTTTAAGTTCGACACTGATCACAATACGCTTACGGTATATTTTTACGCTGAATGCGTGGACTGTTGGAGAGCTTGGACAGGGTATGCAATACCCTGAAAAAGTCTGACAGATCGAAAAGCATTGACGGCTCAAACAGTTCATTCTTCTTCAAGCCAAAGTGGTCATGGCACACTTGGAGAAAAGCCTTGATATTGCGAAGGCACAGGAACTGTAAAACACACCAGATTAGCTGCAGTGGTATCATCCGTGGGATGTTAAGGGGTGCTTAAAAGGAGCGGGGAGCATTTTTCTACCCTAGGGCCAGGCCTTTGGCTGCCTCTGGCTTACAGTGGTGCTGACAACCCTCTGACAAGTCCTACCTGGGCCATCTGAGGCTTCTGGTTCACGTCTTTCATCTCGATGCATCCTGGCTCCAGACCGTTGAGAAGGTTGCACAGGAGAACACCGTCCCTTAAGGTGTAGGCGAGGTCCGACACCGATGCGTCCGCCCAGTTCGCCTTGTGGTCAGGGCGCAACACTTCGCATCTGGTCAGCCAGCTTGCACAATCCCTCCAGACCTCCCCAGCCAGCGAATTGGTGGCGAGCTCCATCCCGAGCGCAGCTCTATAAGGCCCAGATCAACAACGAGGCCATGGCAAAACGGTGGACGACACTGCGACGGCCAAAGGCCTGTTTTTATTTGGCACTACTCTAGCAGACTTGACAACAACAACGGACGGGCATTGATCAATGTGAATGTGGCGGCGAAAGAGCCGAGCCGAGCGTATCATTGGGCAGAAAGCGTGCTCGGAGCGAGGCTAGGCTGCTGGCTGCTATTGGCAGTGAGCCATTATTCACAGTTCACAGTCGTGCTCTGCTCTTCTAGTTCTTGTGCTGCGTTTGCGTTTAATCCTAATTTGGCTTTAGTTTTTGATTCTGCTTCAAAGTTTAAGTGGTTTGAATTTTGATTCGTTGATTTCAAGTCGTGGAACTCGACCATGGAGCTCGACTTGGACCAGGTCTTCGACAAGGTACGTAACGAAATATGGAAGCTTGGCTGTTGTTGGGTCTTCCCTCTGAACGTCTTAATCTATTCAGCAAGCTGTATGGATAGTACTTGTTAACAAATTTAGTAAGTTCTAAGCTAGGCTCAGTTCTGAATTTTGAAAAACATCTAGACTCAAATAGATTTGCAGGCCTGCAGCATTGGGACATTGGGAAAACCAGAACTTAAAGTCCAGGTTATGGGAAGCAGTATAGTCCGAGTAGGATTCTCGCGCTTGTTTGCTCCAATCTAAGGGAAACAGATTTTCGGAAACGCGGTGGTCGTGTAATTGTTGAGCCGCTTAATTTAGGATGCGAGTTCTGTGGCCGCGGCAGGCGGCAGGCCGGCTCCATGCCGGCCCGTCCGGCAGGGTGGGCTACGGCCTCGGCTAGGGCTGGGCGCGGGCTGCGCACGGTTGCGCAGGGCTGCGGCTGCGAGCATTGTTGGCATTGTTGCGACCGTTGGGGTGGGGGGTGGGCGGAGGCGTAGGCAAGGGAAGGGGACGTGCCGCAGCGTGCCGCGGCTTGTGCTTGGGTCGGCTGAGCGCAGTGGCGGATCCAGGAATGGCGTCGGAGTGTATGGAATTTTTAGTTTGCCGGCGACAGAAATTCATCAGGACACGTTCTGAGGTGTTCGCCACTTTATGAGTTGGAATGGGAGCAAATCAAACACCACATTATTCATAAACAGGGCCGCCGGAAGTACTTTCTGGTGCGTGTGTATGTGTGTGTGTGGGGGGGGGAGGGGATTTTAAGAAAAGTTTGGTGGGTTGCCCGCGGTCAAAGGGCAACACCCAATACGGTTTAGACAATACGGTTTAGACAATTATTAATAATGCTCAAAATTCAGCGAGCAAAGCAAGCGAAAATTCACACAATTCTTGATTTAAACATAACTTTTGCCATGTTTAGAGCTCTATTGGTGACCGAAGGGAGCCAAACGAGGAAATTACTAGACGAACATTAAGAAAACCTGCGAACAAAGCGAGCTAGAAGCAAAACATCAAAGAATTTGCGACTTCGCTATATTGTCCTATTTCGAGCTCAAAGTGGCACTTTTGCGTCTGAAAGTGGAGGGGGGGGGGACGGACAACCCGATCAAGCTCTGGGGAAATTCATTTACTCGTTGCGTGTTTCGTGGTCGTTTCTCCTGTACTGTTTCGCCGCAGTTGGGTCGCTTATGACCCACAGGGCTGCTTCGTCATGCTGAACTAAATTCAAATTGGTTTGGGCCAATGACGAGGCGTTGTCCTCCTTTTATTTGCCTCGGCCATTGACGAAAACTCTTTCGTGATTTTCCAGGTGCCCGACCTAATTTTGATCGACATCCTGGAGCGGCTGCCGCTGCCCGACCTGGGCGCGGCGGCGCGGGTCTGCCAGCGCTGGCAGGAGATGGCGGGGCTGCCCCGCTTGTGGCTGGGGGCCACCAGTTCATTCAGTTTGGACGAGCTGGAGGCCATGTCCGAGGCTGCAGGGCCCTGCTTCAGCCTCTCGCTGGTCGTCCGCGGCGGTGTCGCCGGGGACCACGAGAAAGGCGAGGTGCAGTTCCTCGGGGACGGGTAAGTGCAGCCAACGGCAAAGCCCTGGGGCTTTTCAATTTTCTGTTCTTTACATTTTAATTTCATAGCACTGACAGTATGTATTCGATGCATCGTAGTGCACAACCCCCGTCTACCTGTGTGTTTCCAGCGCTCTGAAGGTGGAGGTGCTGAGTCCGCTGCTCGGAGCGGCGGTGCTGCGCAGCGCCGTGGGCCGGTCCCTCCGCGAGCTGCGAGTGCTGGAGGTGGCGCAGGGACAGGGCTTGCAGCTGCCCGCGCTGTCCGGCCAGCCCGCCATGCGGCTTCCTCAGCCGCACCAGCAGCACCAGCAGCACCAGCAGGAGGAGGAGCCGTGGTGGGTGCCGGCGCCACAGCCCGCTGAGGTGGTCGAACTGTGGGCGGCGATGTCTGCGCTTTCGGGCCTGAAGCGGCTCGAAATATGCGTGTCGGCGGTGGGGGCTCTCGGTCGGGAGCCTTTCAGCTGGCCGGTACGTGTTGGCCTCGGCTTGGAGAACCGCCCCGCTCTTTCCCGCTCACTGCAACCCTCTAACGGCACCTTGGTGACCTTGGTCCACAGGCTCCGCTGCCGTTGCTGGAGTCTCTGCAGCTGCAGGAGACCTCCACCGTCGGCGGCTTCGCGGCGTGGGGCGACGGCGCCGTCGCCGGCCCCGTATGCCCGTCATTCCGGGAGTTGGTGGTGGCACACCGGTAAGTCTGCCTCCTCGCTTTCTGCCCCTCGGTGCACCGCGCCGCACTGCACTCGGTGTTCCACGGAGACGTGCTTGCAGGGCCCAGCTCCGCTCCCTGCGCCTCTACGGCCACAGGCTGGCCCCGCTGCTCGGCGAGGTCCAAGGCCGCCTGCAGAGCGTCGCCGTGGCTGGCGTCGTGGGGACGCCCGTCCACCTGGCGAGGCAGCCCGATCTGGAGGAGTTGCGTCTGGAGACACTCGGCGCGCCCTCCTACCTGGAGGTGAGTTCCAGTGTGTCGGGTTGCGTGGTGTTGCAGGCACCGGGCTGTCGGTGGGTGGAGGCCAATGTTTTTTTTTTGTCGTCAGGTGGCAGCGCTGCTGGGGGCTCCAGGACTGGCGCACCTGAGAAAACTCACGGTGACCTCCGGCATGTCCTGCGACCCGGTGGTCCGGGCCATCACTGCCGGCCATCTGCTGGGGCTCACCAGCCTCACGCTGGCGGTGCCCCAGCAGTCGATCCTGGTATTCGCGGCGGCGATGGCCGGGACCAGCATGCCAGCGCTCCGGACGCTGGTGCTGCGGCCGGCACCGGTTCCGGAGGCGCTGCTGGCGCTGGTGGCGGCCAAGGGCAGCCTGCCGGCCCTGCGCCACGTGGCACTCCCCGGCAGGCTGTGCCACACGGCCCACACGGGCCACGCTGCGGCCTACTACCCCGCCGTGCCGGTGAACCACGCGCACGGAGCCCACGGAGCCGGCATCGGCCATGGGATAGCCTGGCCCCGCGGCCCAGTGGCTGCTGCCATCCCCATCCGCCACCCATGGGCCGGGGCCCCCTTCCGGCACGCGTGGCCGGTGAGGCCTGCGGCTGCTGCGGCTGCTGCTGCTGCGGCTGCTGCTGCGGCTGCTGCTGCTGGTGGGGGTAAGTTCTGTTGTCGCCCGCGTCGCCCTGTCGTCGGCCCGCTTGTTCCTCCAGCTCATGTGGCCGTTCTTCTGTGTTCCAGAGTGCCGCATGCCGGCGCTGCGGCGCCTGTGCGCCGAAATGCCGGACGTGCACGTGCGCGCCCAGGCCTGCACTTGCGACGTGCCGCCGGCCGCTGCCCCAGGCGCCCCCGCCGCCCCGGCCACCGCGCTGTTCGCCCGCCACCCGAGGGGGCCTTGCGACCTCTGCGAGGAGGCGAAGGAGGCCCACGGCTGGGAGCGCCCGCTCGGGGCCCGGCCTGCGGGGATCCTGTACGAGCAGGTCTGATGATCAGACCTGCTGGTACAGGACGTCCATTACCGGGGGACAGAAAGCATGCAAGTTTCACTACACAGCTTATTCGTTAAGTCTTAAGTTTTAATGCATTAAGGATTAGGTAGAGAGATAGTATGAGTCGAAGACAAGGCGGAGTTTATAATTAAGAACTAAGTATATAACGCATTTTAAGTCTTATCTGTAGTGAAACTCCATATTTTAATGCATAGACTATGCCATAGTAGTTTCTTGACTGGGGGCGGTCCTCGCCTCCGGTCCTAGGACCGTATGTAGCATATTCTTGAGTTGCTGATGCATTGTGATGCATTGTGAAGGATTTGGTAGAGAGAGATTGAGTCACAGATGAGGTGGAGTTTACAATGAAGGAAGTAATATAAAACATTTTAAGTCTTATCTGTAGTGAAAAATCTATATATTAATTCATAGAGTATGTTATAGTGCTGGGTCCTGGACAAATGTCCCAAAGGCAATGTTTCGTCAGAATTATAATTTTGAATGGGAATGGGTGACTGAAGCAAATGTAAGTTTAGTGTAGTGGAACTTAGTAGTATTTAAATGCAAATGTACGTAACATATGTAGCTTGTTCTTGAGTTGTTGATGCATTTGTGAAGGATTAGGTAGAGAGAGATTGAGTCAAAGATGAGGTGGAGTTTACAATGAAGGCATAAGTGATAAAACATTTCAAGTCTTATCTGTAGTGAAAAATCTGTATATTAATACATAGAGTATGTTCTAGTGCTGGGTCCTGGGACGAATGTCCCAAAGGTAATGTTTTGTCAGAATTATAATTTTGAATGGGAATGGGTGACTGAAGCAAATGTAAGTTAAGTGTAGTGGAACTTAGTAGTATTTAAATGCAAATGTATTTTCATGATTGTAATTTTGAAGTCTCTGGTAGGTAGGAAGAATGACTGAAGTAAATTTAAGATTAGAATTGTGAACTACATGTAGTTTGAACTGCAGCATTTTTTATGCGTCTATTTTTATTTTGCCTTCAAGGAGAACAGTAATTGTTATTTTAAAGTCCCCAGTTTAGGACAAAGGGGAAGGATGACTGAAGTAGTTCAAGATTAGTGTAATTGAAGCTATGCAGTAATTTTAAGCAAAGCCCTTTTATTTTATTTCGCCTTTAAAGCGAACTCTAATTATTATTTCCAAGTCTCAAGATGAATGGGTATGGACTGAACCCTAATGTAAGTTTATAAGATACTGTAAGGATGCATGTGAGGATCATCGTTCATAATTACTGTGTTGTCTAAGGAAGAAGTTTTCATGTCATTAAACCTCATTCGGTTTAACTTTGCCCCCCGCATTCCCTCTTTCTCCCCCCTTGGTCCCTGGGCCGCCCTGCCGCCGTGCCGCCCTGGGTGTTGGCGGGTCGATTGCCGCCCCCGCCCCTAGATGGCGCTAGCGCCGCGCTCTCCTGCGAGGCCCGGCGAGGCCGTGCGGCACTGCGGTCGTCGGCCGGAACTCCGTAATTCTCGCATTAATTAACAAAGTCCCGGACTAAGATGAAATTGACGCTCCTGCTGAGCAGCGAGCGCGGTGAGGCGAGGCGCGGCGAGGCGTCTTGATTTTCCGGCAGTGTAAACAACACTCGCGGCGCCGCGGTGGTCCCGGGGCCAATTGATTGGAGCCGCGCGCTCGCGCTCACTCGCACTGCAGGCACGTGCGCGGCACGCGGCGCCTAGTCCGTCGGCACCCCGGCCTGGCCCCGGCCCGGCCCTGGCCGCGCTCGTGGGTGTCGCTGGCAAACAAACGGGGCTCGAAATTAACGTACGCTCTGACCACCGTCGTCTTTAGGTCAAGTCGACGCGCGATTTGAACCTGCAGACTGGACGCTGGGCACGGATCCCGGTTTGGACGCTGGACCGCGGTCGAAGGGTCGAAGGGTCGAAGGTCGGACGGACGAGCGAAGGGCGGCGGGCGGACTCGCTGTCTGCTGCAGACTCTACGGAGCGGCACGCGCCGCGCGGCGCCGGCCGCGGCCACCCGGGGCTGCAGCGTGCAGGCCGTGCAGGCGGCGCAGGCGGCGCTGCCACCCCTCCCCCTCCCCCGCACCGTCGTAACGTGTCACTCGCACACATTCTTGCAAGCTCCCCTTCCTCGCCCGTTTGAGTGGAAACTGTGCCGCCGCCCGCGCCGCCTTGCTGTTGTTGACGGTCATGACGGTCACGGTGGCGGCCGCGGCGGTCGACTTGGCGGCGCCCCGCTTGGGCTCGGGACGGATAAAGGACGCGGACGACCCAAGAGCCCACACTGGAAGTTGGAGGTCGGAAGAGGCTCCGCGACGGTCAGCACAGTCAGCGAGTCAGCCTGCGCTGCCGGCCTGGGCCCTCCCGTGAGACGGCCGTGCCGCGCGCGTGGCCTACCCTGGGCCTGGCGGGCGCCAGGCGCCAGCGTGCGGCAGCGCAAGCTAGGAGTCTGCTGGAGTTCCATGGAAAGCAATCCCCGTCCGCAAACAAAGAAAACTGCTCGGGGAAAAACTGAGACTATGGAGGAAAGTGCGGGGATTTTTGCTTTTGGTTAGTGACCCACCCGCGCGACCAAGACCGATTGGTAGCTCCGTGTCGCCTCACTGTCCGCTGCTCCGCTGCCTGGCTGTCTTCTGCTGGCCTGTCTGTCCTGCGGCACTGGCGGCACCCTCGCGGGCCTCTTGAGCTGGAAAATCTCTTTATCGCTTCTTAATTAAACTGTGGGGGAGGGCGCCGCTTTGAGTGGTGGCGCTGTGCTGCGCCGGGCTGCGGTCTCACGCTTGTGTGGCTATGCGCGTGGCACCAGAGGCTGCAGGATGAGCTAAAAAACATCAACAACAACAAAAAAACGGAGCGCCGGGCCGGGGACTCGAACCCCGGCATGTCGCGTCCGGTGGTAAACTGAGTGAGTGTGCTGGCGCGGAAGTAAATGGCTTGGGAAACAGATGGTACAGATCAGGAGAGGCGGAGTCAAACAATGTTTTAGTTTTTATTATTATTTTTCGCGTCGCTAAAGTACCTACGTGGTAGATAAAAGTTTGGCTTATCAATTTATACAATTGTACATTTTACATAATATTTTATAATATCTCATAATTAAACTCTTTTATTTCTAAAAAAACGAACGATAACCGCGCTCGGAAGCACGCAAACGGTGGGCGCATTTCTCTGACATAAATCGGAGCGCCGTCCTGGCGGCCCTGGCGGCCCTGGCGGCCCTGGCGGGCGCAACGGCAGCGGGCCGCGTGGCGCGTGGCTCGGGGCGGCTGCGCCAGGCTGTGCCAGGCCGCACCAACTTGCTTTGGTAACTATGCATTTACTCGTTCGCTCGGTGGAACGTGGAACTCCACGGCGTGCAGCCATGCGACTGACAGTAAGGCTATCAATCAGTTTATCACAGAACTGTCAGTGTGCGGGGCAAGTGCGAAATGGAGCTATAAAAAGGGCAACAACATTCCCCTGCGAAAGCCTGCCTGGGAAGGCCACCCGACGAATTGTGGGCCTAGAGTCGTGAAACAAAAGGCCCGAGAAAAACAAAAAAAAACAAAGATGAAACAGGAAACGAAACAAGAGAGAAATTGGTGCTCCCCCTTTGCCGGCGTGGCGGGGCCGACGGGGCCAACGGGGCCCTCGGCTCGGCCGGCGGCATGGCGGCATCGTGTGGAGTTGTTGGTAAACTTGAGCGAGGTGGCGCGGCGAGCGGCGCGTCCACGCGGAAGGCCAGCTCGCACCCTCCCTCCTTCCACGCCGCCACGCCGCCACGCCGCCACGCCGGGCGCAAAATTAAATAATGTGCCCGGGGCCGACCGGAACGCCCGGAACGCCCTGGTGCGCCACCGGCCCCCCAGGCCCCGCCCGCCAGGCCCCGCCCCGCGACCCGCGATCCACCCCGGCCTGGGCCGCCCCGTGCGTTTAGGTCTGGGCCGCGTGCCCCCGGCGTGCCCCTTCCACATTCAGTCTAACTCGACAGTCACTCCTCCAGTTCATCACGTGACGTTGATCTCCTCCTCCTCGTCGTCGTCGTCCTCGGCGGCTTCGGAGTCCTCGGTGTCCGGGGGCCGTCCCGGGTCGGACAGGTCGTGCGGCGACCGCGGCGGCGTCATGGGCGGCGTGCCCGGGTGGACGTGCACGCTGGCGTCGTCGTCGAAGCCGCCCTCCGACGGCTCCAGCTTGGCGCGCTCCCGGTCCGCCTCGGCGTCGCTCAGGTCCGGGTGGGGGTTGTTCTTGTTGGGCAGCGTCTGCTCGCGAGAGCCGCCCGTCGCCAGCAGCTCGCGCTCCTTGGAGTTGCGCCACTTCATGCGCCTGTTTTGGAACCAGATCTTGACCTGCAACAGACGAAGGGATTGGGATTAGGGTTAGCCATGGCCGCCATCCGCATTTACGCCCGGCTGGGTTGGCGCCGAGGAACCGCAGGGTGATGCCTGTCGACTGGCGGCCACGCGGCCCGCAGCGTTTCGTCGCGCGCTCTCTCGCACCCTGCGGAACGCCCGGAACGCCCGGAACGCCCGGAACGCCCGAAACGCCCGGAACGCTCGGAACGCCCGGAACGCCCGGAACGCCCGGAACGCCCGGAACGCCCGGAACGCCCGGAACGCCCGGAACGCCCGGAACGCCCGGAGAGTGCGAGAGGGACAGACTGACAGGCCACGCCGCGGGGCTGTTCGTCCTGATTCTGCACCGCAACGGAGCCACTCTGTGACGGCAGTTTGCTGGGCTGTGGTTGTGCACCGTTCGCGTTCCTACCCGAGGCCGAGATCACTGATGCCTTTTCTTCTAGCACTCTAGCGCGGTCCAAGGTCCAGAGCTGCAACCTTTCTTTCAAAAATAAATCATTCGCGTTTTTATAGAATTGTTTCCATGAGGTACGTGAGCTTATTAGAAACGCCTGGGTCTCTGTCCGTACCCTGGTTCCGAAGAGCGCTCGCCGCCAGGGCCGCTGCGAGGGACGGGGCGGGGCGGGGTGGGGCGTAGCGGTGTGGGCGGGGACTGGCGGGGCGGGGACGCTGCGGTCGGGGAGGTATAATTGTCATCGCCCTCGGTGCAAAAGTCGTTGAGCGGCGGAGCGGCGCGCGGAGAGTTTCTGCCAACACGCCAAGTAATTCGGAATGGAAATGGCACGCCATCAGAGCCTTATCATCCGCCCCCGCCTGCCTCTCTCTCTCCCCCCCTCCCCCTCCCCGGCGAGGCGGTCTCGCCCCGTCCCTCTCCCTCTCGCTATCCGCGGCTCGTCTCGCCTGCCAAATGCTAACCGGCGCGGAAAAAAGCCCTCCTCTTTCACGTCACTTCCACTCCCGAGGGCGATTTTTTTTATTTCATTCCACTTTTCCTTTTTGGTTGTCCACATAAAACGTCCCTTTTCCTTGTTTTTCTGTTGCGCGTTTGAGATTTCCATCGCGACTTGTCCGCCGCCCCCGCTCGCGTCGTTGGACAAGGATCGGCGTGCGCGGCTTGAACATGGCTTGAACGCCGCGAATGCGCCCGGGCGGACTCTGCTCTGCCCCGTCGCCCCGCCCCGCCCCGCCACTGACCTCAAGTCATGGCTTGTCGCGAGGCCTCGGCGCGCGGCACAAACACATCAACTAGTTTTCTCGGGGCAATATGGTGCCGCCAGGGCGCGGCGCCGTGTGTGAGATTGCGGTGACTGCGTCCGGGGCGGCGGGCAGGCAGGCAGGCGAGGGTCTGGGCGCCGGGCCGGGACCGCCTCGGGGGCGAGGGAGGAGGCCGCCACGCGACGCCGCCCCGCACGCAGCCAGCATGGGGCGGGGCGGGGCGGGGCGGGGCGGGGCGGGGCGGGGCGGCGGTCCTTGGCGCCGGCTGGGAGGGGAGGCGGAGATGCGAGGCCGATTAGCCCGGCTAAGTGATAGCGGGCGGGGCGCGACATCTGTTGGCGATTTTTCGGCGAAACGTAACAACAATAAGGAAAAGGGGAAAAGAAGGGCGGAAGAGAGGAGGAGGGGGAGGGCGAGGCGGCGTCATTAGACGTGCCAAACAGGGGAGGTCAATTGAAAAGTCGCCGCCGGGACGCGGCATTCGGCATTCGGCGCGGGGAGAGGAGAGGACAGATATTATTATCGCGACGGTTGTGTCATTATTGCGAGGCAACGCACTGCCGTCTCGGCTCGGCTCGGCCCGGCTCGGCTCGGCCGAGTGATGACCGTGATGACGTCGTCATGCCTCCCTTATTGCGTTACTGCTCTTTGGCTGTGCTTGGCCGTGACGGCGTGACGGCCCGGGCATGGCATGGCTACCCGGGGTACTCGAGGAGGGCGCGCGGCGCGCGGAGTGCCACACAGTGCGGCGGTGCGGCGGCCCAGCGAGGCCCCCTCCCATTACCACACCAGATAATATATATTCAGATGCATGGGGCCCCATGATGCATTCAATTCAGTTGGCACCGTGGTGTGAATGCGCGGAAAGGGGCTCCGGTCCGTGCCTGCCGCCCCCTGCCGCCCCCCGCCCGGCCCTCGGAACACACCGCCCTCCATATTCATTCTCTGCTCAGACTCCAGCCAGCCCGCACGGGCCCGAGGCGGGGAGGGGCGGAGGGGCCATAGCCACCAGGGTGTTGGAAAGTAAAGGGGGTTTGTGCCCGTTCGGTCCCTGTTATGGATCGAGGACAGACTGCGCGACGCCGCGGCGGTCCGGGAGTCCCGGAGGCGGGGCGGGCGGGGTGGAAGCGGCGACTCGAGCAGCAGTTACCGTCCAACTTGGCGGCCTGGTGGCACAAATTTATTGGGTGATAAGCGATTTTATCCAGTTCCAGCTCCAGCGACGCGGCGCTCTTCATCGGCCGCGTGCCTGGCCGGTCTGGCCGGCCTGGCCGACCCCGGAAAGACAATTACCCCACACCACACGCTTCGGGGTGGCTGAAAAAAATCGGCTGGAAAAACGGCATTTATCAGCGAATTACCGTCCTGGAGTGGTTCCAGTGGAGCGGCTCCAGTGGCGTGCCTCCAGTCGCACCCCGTGCCAGCAATGCCGCAGGCTCCAGGACAAAGATCCGCCGCCTCGTCAATTTCTCATCCCCGTAATAACCTTAAATCGCCCTTTGTGACTGTGCGAGAGAGAGAGAGAACGAAGCGCTCCCCTGTCAGAGCAGCGCGTCGCTGGCTCCACGGTCGTGATCATTCCCAGCAAACTTTACGAGAAAAGCAAAAGAATGTTGAATTTGAACCCGAGACACTCCGCGCCCGAGGGGAACACTGCGCCACTCGAAAGTGTGCGCAGTGACGACGTGCATGGTTTTATTTTCGTCGTTTTTTCTCGACACGCCAGAAACGAAGGAGGGAGATGTCAAAACCTTTACTGCAGCGCGGAGTCGCGGCGCCGCGGAGGAGCCCCCATGCCGTTCCGACCGCGGCGTTGCAGAAGAGGGAGGCGGCGCGGCGAGGCGCGGCGCCATTGGCTGCAGCTGTTTCTTGAGCCGCCCCACGGCCGTCAAGGCCCACAAGGCCCCGGCCGTCAAGGCCTCGCCACGCGCGCCACGCGTCCGCGCCAGTCCTTATTCATAATCTGCTTCATCCCGAGGGGAGGGCAGGGCGGTGCGGGGGAATTTCCAGAAAAGAATCTGCCAAGTCGCCGTCGCCGCCGCCGTGGACCACCACCTCCACGTACAGTGTACTACCACTGGCGCGGCGGCGTGGCGACGGCTGGCGGCCGCCGCATTGTCCGTACCGCACTCCATCGCCATCCATCAATTGCAGAAATTGAGCGTTTCCTTGCCGTTGGCTCGCAGCGCACCCCGCCAGGCGGGCGGACAGGCCGGGCTGGGCCGGACCGCCGCGGCGTTTGACGTAAGGCGACAGCTGCTGTGGGGCCGTAGTCCGTGGCGAACCCGTTCCGAAGCCGTGGCGAAGCGCGTCTCGCGCGCGCGCGCGCGTGTGTGTGTGCGTGTGCGTGCGTGCGTGTGTGTGTGCGTGCGTGGCCAAGCCAGCGTCCATTTTTCGCGTACACGGCAGCGCGGCTGTACGCACGAGAGGTCCGCTAGTGGTCGCCCATTAGCATACGATCCCGCATTACACGCTGGGTGCTGGCGGTGCTGCGCGCCTCCGTCTAGGATGGGGTTAATAAATGATGTTATGCGTCCCGAAGCCAGAAGGGACGGCCGGCCGGCGAGGATGGGCTGCCGTGCCACTGCCGTGCCGCTGCCGTGCTGACCGGCCGGGTTGGTCCAGTTTATACGAGTGAACAGATGATGACGAGCTGACACGAGCACAGGCCTCCCCCTCCCTTCCCTCTCTCCTTCGACCTTCCCTCGTCCGTTCCCCTTTCGTCCTTCCTCTGCCTCCTTCTCCTCCTCGTCACTTTCCACATCGAAGTAAATACGCGTCATAGCAGGGCCGTGGCAGCCCACGGCAGGGCCGGGCAGGGCCGGGCAGGGCACAAGTTGCAGGCATTAGCAACATCATCATCACCATCACGAACAACAACGGCAACAACAACAACAACAGCAGCAGCAACTCGAACAGGAGCACGGTGCGGCCCCACCCCGGCCCACCCCTTGGTGGTGGCCTGCAAGTGACAGACCCTCCCTTAATGCTCTCTGTCTTGCTGCCTCTTCCTCCACTATTGCCGCCCCCGCCGCCCCCGCCGCCCCGCCGCGGCCCGCTTTGGCAGCGACGCCCAGACAATTCCTCTGTGTAATGGTTGTGATTATCCCCGAGTGGGGCCCAGGCCAGGGGCCCAGTGCCGAGTGGGGCGCGGGGCCTCGCGGCACGGCGGCGGTGGCCTCGGCCCACAAAGACGCTGGCTGGCGCCGCACTCACCTGCGAGTCCTTGAGGCCCAGCTTGTCGGCCAGCCGCTTCCGGTCCGGCTTGGAGATGTACTTCTGGAGCTGGAAGCGCTTCTCCAGCCCCTTGCGCTGCAGGTCCGAGAAGACGGCGCGCCGCATCATGCCGCGCCGCGGCTTGCCCCGCGACGAGTGCGCCCAGGGGAAGGAGCCGGGCAGCGGGAACACCGTGGCGCCCCCCGGCGGGCCCCCGTGGCCCCCGTGGCCCTGGCCGGACGGCGGCGACACTGGAAGCACACACAGGCAGCGGGTTAGGCACGGACTTCCACGTCACGGCGCTCTGCAAGCAACCACCACACAGTGGGCCAGAAGACCGGTGGAGGCGGCCGAAACTCTAAACGCGTTCCGAGCTCCAGAGTCGCTAAACAGGACTCGAACCGAACGTGTGACCCCATCAATGGATTCCTCGTTCGGAGAGCAATCTATTGGTGGGGGTCACACGTTCGTACGAGGCCTATTTATTTACTGACTTGAGCTCAAAAGGCATCTAGAGTTTTGGCCGCCTCCACCGGTCTTCTGGACCACTGTGCAACACCCTGTTAACATCCTCCTGTCTTGGTTTCAAATCTCTTTCAAAATGATTGGGAGGCCGCGGAGGACGAAGCAGTGCCGCCCCACCGTTAAATCGGAAAAGCACACAAGGGCGCCGACGAAGCGAGAGCGAGGAGTAAGGTGGCGGAAGGAGCCCCGCCCCCGCCGCCCCCGCCGCCCCCGCGACACGCCCCGCGCGGCCGGCCATGAATATTCCACCCCGGCCGAGTTCGGGCCGTGGTGCCGAGGCTCCTGCAGGGCGATTCCGAGCCGCGCTTCTTCGCCCGTCCCTCTCGCCGCCGAGCCGCCCCCGACGGCACGCCCCCGACGGCACGCCCCCGCCCCGCCCCGTGGCTGCGAGAGAGACGGCGCTACCGCCGGGTCCGCCTCCGCTCTATGCAAATGATGCGAATGCGCCGTCCGATTCCGATTCCCAGGTTTTCGTCTCGCCCTTATTCGCCGTTATTTTCACGGAGCCAGAAACAATTATGCGTGCAGGCCGAGAACCGCAGAGGGGCTTGCCGCGGCCTGGCCATGGCCTGGCGCTGCCCGCGGGACGCGGACAAGGAGGTCGCCGCCGAGCTGGAGGCGAAGAAGGCAAGGCCGTTCAAGGCGGCCAACGAAAGGAGCGCCAATTACGACTGAAACAGCGGCGGAAATAAAAAAAAAAAACGGGGCGAAATCAGAATCAAGGCAAGCGTCTGCCTGCTCGCCTTCTTTTATCGGTTGGATATACATGTTACCAAGTTATTGAAAACACTACCCCACGCACGCCGCCCCTCCCCTCCCCTCCCGCCCCCTTCCCCGCCAGCCCTCGCACCCTTTGTCGAGCCTCCCCTCCGAGGCCGGGGACCGGGCTCGCCACAAAGCACTACACCGTGCAAGCCGTGCAAGCGACACCCCGAGCTTTGATTCCCTGACTGATGCGATTCCCTCCCCTTCCTCCCCTCCCTCCCTCCGCCTCGGCCGCCGCGGGACCGTTTAGCGGCGGGGATAGTTAACAAGGTGTGTAAACATTTCCCGTCGGGGCGGCCCTGTGTGTGTGTGTGTGTGAGTGAGTGAGTGTGTGTGCGTGTCGAGCGGGGCGATTGCGGCCGCCTCATTACAAGCTAATTGCTGGAGCCGCTGGAGCCGGCCGGCGTTTCGCCAGAGTTCTCTCGCAAATATATCTGCCATGCTAATAGAGAGCGTCACCGCGTTCTCTGGGAGGTATTTTTTTTTCGCGCCACCATGCTGCCGCCATTGTGCGTTCGGACACTCTTTCGGGTCACCCACCCGTTATTTATTTTTTCGAGGCCGTCCTTTCTACGCCACGCACGTCGCGTCCCCGTCCCCGTCGCCGCGCCGGCCGTTGGATCCAATGGTGTGCCGCACTGTGCCACGCCCCGGCTCTGTGAATGTTGTTCCAGGGATGAGCCGAGGACCGGTGCAGAAGCAGCAAGCAGCACCCCAGACTGAGCGGCGGTGCCGCAGCAGTGCCGCAGGGAAGCGTGTAAAGTGCTTATGAAAATATTATGTCACGGCTTTTTTATTATTTTTGTTGCGGGCTCAAATCCGCGTGCGTGGCTCCAGACAATTTATTGCTCCGAGGCCTTCGAGGCGAGGTCGTTCGAGGCACCCCAGCCGCTCTGTATTATCGTGACGAATCCCGCCAGGGGCCGTGCAGGGTGGCCGTCGTCGAGGCGTCTAGAGGTCCCCGAGGCCGCCGAGGCCGCCGCCGCGGCGCATTGTGTCACCAGGTGTCACCCAAGGGGTTTCGACCATCCGCTCCGCTAAAAATAAACACAGAAACAGATGAAGAAGATTGCTCACCGGTGAGGTAGGGGTTCCTGCAGGCCAGCAGCGGGTGCAGGTGGGGGTTGAAGACGGCGGCGGGGCGCGCGATGGGCTTGGCGATGGCGCCGCCGGCCTGGCCCGCGCCGCCCTGCTGGCCGCACGCCGGGCCCACACTGTAGCCGAAGCCGAAGAAGGGCGGCCCGGCCGACGAGAAGATGGAGTCTGCCGGAGAGAGAAGCACGCCATCAGTACCGACCGAGACGAGGGAGCATCGCGTGGGAGGAAGCTCCCCTCCCCCCCCCCATTCCTCCGCGCGCCGCGCCGCTCACGTCGTAATTTCGCAGAGACGCGCCACTTTTTCCGCGGCTAGCGGAGTGGAGTCCTTCTTCATCGCGCCGCCTTCCCTCCACTTGTTTGTCGATTTGGCCCGCCGGGCCGAGCCGGGCCGAGCCAGCCGGACCGTGGCGCCCCCTGCTACCCCCAGCGGGCCCAGGGCCCACTCGAAAGGGGGAGGGGGGGGGAATGGACTGGGCGGCGGTAGTTGGGGAGGAGGAGGGCCACGGCGCCACGGCCACGACGAGGGGGCGCGACCAATATGATGAGCGTTTCTCTTTTCTTTATTGGTCTGGCAAGTGTCAGCGAAACGCCGCGCCACACCACGCCGCCGTGGCCCCATACACGCTCCCACACACTTGCTTCCGTCGCCCTCTCCCTCGACCTCCGTCGGCTCGTTGGCCGCCCGTCGTGGGGTGTGTGGCAGCCTGTATGGAGCGCCACCGGAAAGAAACGGTTTCATCTCGGACCGCGCGGAGGAGCTGCGACAGCCGAGAGCGTTGAGGCGTCGGCCCGCGCACTACCCCTCGGCTCGCAGTTCGAATCCATGTTGACAATGGTCCAATCCTCGGTCCAATCCGTTTCATGGCGCTGACCTTGGCGTCGTCTGCGCGCTGAGGCGATTACAGTGCGGGGTCCCTCTCCGCTTGGTCGGTCACTTGCTCGGTGCCGCCATGTCGGCCGAGTCCGCCCACGCCGTGGCCGTGGCGCCTCACGCCGCCAAAACGTTTCAATAAATAAGCACAGCTGGCGGCGGGCGGAGGCAGCCGTGCCCGGCGCAGCCCGGCGCAGCCCGGCGCCCAGGCCAGGTATGAAAGATGCATGAGGTACGACACGTATGTTATTTTTCTTCATGGATCTTCTTTTTATCTTTTTCCTTCTCCTCCTTTTGCTCTTTTTCGTCAGGAAAATGTCGAGTAGCGCTCCTGAATTTCCGATGAGCAGGCCGATTTGCATGCGCCGATGCTCGCCTAGCTGCCGCACAACGCCATTCATTCATTCATTCATTCATTCATTCATTCATTCATTCATTCATTCATTCATTCATTCATTCATTCATTCATTCATTCATTCATTCATTCATTCATTCATTCATTCATTCATTCATTCATTCATTCATTCATTCATTCATTCATTCATTCATTCATTCATTCCAGAGCACTGAGTGGCGGGCCACCGAATGCGCGGGGTTGCGACTAGTTTGGACGCGCGACCGCAGCTAATCATTTTGTAATGCCGGGCGGACCGCAGGGTCCTTGCGTCCGTGCGCCGCGTCCAGCGAGTCTCCCCGTTAACTAACTTTGAAACATGAGGCCGGCCCGGCGGCCACGACCCGGCCCGAGTGCGTGCGCCTGCTGGCGGTGCCTGGCGTGCCTGGCGGAGCGCGGTGGAGAAAAGAGGGAGAAAAGAGGAGCCCAAATGGCTTTGCAAATAATAAATCCACACCGCGATGAGTGTTGTCGAATGCTCGCCTGTTTGCACACGGCCGGCCCGCACGCGCGAGTACGCGTGTGTGTTCGTAATGGGTGGGGGTGCGTACGCACACACACGCACGCACACGCACGAACGCACGCATGCTTCGGCCGGCTAGCAAACTGACCGCAAACGCACTCGCTGCTCGTCTTTCCCCTCCGTGCTGTTTGCACATCACTTTGCAACGATTTGTAGCCCCCCTCCCATTCCGGTGTGATGAGCGAGAGAGACGGACGGTCGACTTCTCGCGTGACTCGGCAGAAAGCCGCGGCATGTTTCTGTGTTCGAGGGTTCGAATCCCCGCACGGTCTTTTTTATTTTTTCGCGGCCGCGGATACGTTTAGCGCCTTGTTGTCGGCATTCATGGACACGTGTAGGGAAGGGTGGCGGAATGAGCGGGCAAGGCGATAAGGCAGCCGTCATGCGACAGCCTCTGCCCCTGCCTCGGGGCTGGACGGGGCTGGACTGGGGCGACGGGGCCGGACGCTGGACGGCGGGTCGCTAAGTGGACGCCCAGCTGGCGGCACGGCGACGTGGCGAGGGTGGCGTCCAGGGCCGGGGCCGTGCAGTGGGATGGTCGCCTTGCTTACAGTGGAGTGTCCGCCCTCCAGCCTGCAGCCAAAGTTGGTGGCGGCGACGTGACTTGGCGGCCCCGCTGCGCCGCCGCGCCGTCCTGCAGGCCGAGCCGGGCCGAGCTTTGCCGAGACTGCGGGGGCGGGGCCTTGGCTCAAGCCTTGGCTGGGGCTGCGGCGCTGCGGCCGGTCGGGGAATTGATTTGATAAAGTGTGGTGTCAATTTACGAGCGATACGAGGGGCGGGAGCGCCGGCTAGCTCCCCCGTCCGGCCGGGGTGGGGGTGGGGGTGGGGTGGGGAGGTGAGGCGGCGCCGGGGCGGGCCCTTTCCCTTTATCGCCACTCAAGTTGTTCCGGTGGCGTCCGAGGCAGGCGACCCGCCGCACCCCACCCCGCCCCGCGAACCAACTTTGGCGGCCGACTCGGAGCCCCCAAACGCGAACCAGCATCCCAGAGTTGTCCCTGCACCCCGCAGCCATGCGACCTGCGCGGCGCTCGCTCTGACGCCGTGCACCCCGGTTCGATTCCCCGCTTACTTTTTGTACTCTTTTCTGCACGAACACCCCGCACACCTTCTCCTTTCGTCCCCCTCCCCCTCCCCCTGCCGGCGTCCCGGCGGTCCGCGTCCACCTGTCGCCGCCAGTGCCGCACGCAGTCGCACCCCGCGGCGTGGTGGCGCGGCGACGCGGCGACGAGGCGCAACGCCTAGCAGCCCCTCGGACCCCCGCGGGCAGCCCGACGCCCCCGCGCCTGGCCACGCCACGCCACGCCACGCCACGCCACGCCACGCCACACCAGGTGGCGCTGCTGTCGCCTCTGCGGCGAGCCCGGCGAGCGTCCGGGCGGTCCTGACTCCCGGGGGCAGCAGGGGCGGCAGGGGCAGCAACACGGCGCGACGACACAACACGACGACACGATCGTGCGGCCGTGTTCGTGCTATTCGCCGTGATTAATCAAACTTCGGCGGTTCGATCCCCGGCGGGGCCCTGCCAGGCCCTGCCTACCCCCCGCGGGGCCCCGGGGATGCGCGACGTGCCGCGGATTGAGAAGTGCGGCGCCACGCGGCGGGGCGATGGCGGCGGGGCGTCGCCAGGATGGCGTCATGGCCTTTACGGCCCCGAGAACGCGCGACGCGCCGAATAAAAGTCGCCACTTTGTTGTTATTGGAAACGGGACGTCCTGGCTGGGAGGCTGGGAGGCTGGGAGGCTCTGGAAGCGGCCGGCAGATGGCGCCAAGTGCGGCCTGCACTGTGGATGCGCGTCGCCTACCGTCGCCGACCGCCCACGCCTACCCGCCCACACCCCAAGTGAGATGCCTGCGTTGCCATTCCATCCCACCACCGGGGCGCTTTCGTGACGCGTTCGGCTGACGGCGAGCGCGGTGCGATGGGACTTTGCTCCTCGCCGTTTGGACCGGTTTCGATGATCCGTGGCCACCCTGCTTGGCGGATAGAGGCGTGCCTCGAACACCATAGTACAGTTTTTGGCCTCCAGTGGCGAAAGTCCGGGGGAAGGATATGAAAATCAGGCGGAGCCATCAACGATCACTGAGAACTTTTCGTTTCAATACCGGATTGGGAAAGTTTGTGCCGCTGGTGCTGTGCGGCGAGGCGCGCTGACGGCGTGCCTCCCCTCCACCTGCCCCTTGGCCCGCCAGCCCCGCATTATGGCCATCCGAAAGTTGCGGCGGTGTGGGACGAAAACAAAAAACAAAACGCGGCCCACAATAAAACGTTATCGAAAGTCTTTGCCGCCGCCCCTGTCCCCCTGTCTCGCGGCCGAGGACATGGCGGCATTGTTTTTTCGCCAAATGCGATAAACCGGCGGACGGACATGCCCGCCATGATAGACACTGCCCCGCCGGCTGGTATCGCCAATCGGAGCTTGTGTCTTTTTTCTGATGATTTTTCACCAGTTTTTTTTCTCTGTTTAACTGACAAAAACTCAGATAGACATAATCGTAACGTAATTACAATCATAGATTTGGATTTGGCCTTTCGACCAGCTTTGTGAGGCAGGCTCTACGGCGTAGAGTCTACGCTCTCGCCTACCTTCCTTTAGCATGCCTTTGTTACGGAGTGTGATTATCTGCCTTAGTTTGGGAGCAGTATTGCCACAAAGTTGATCAAAACGGTCACAAATGTCTTTGAAAAATCGTGTTTTGGGCCGACTTTAAGCAGCCTTTGCGTCTGATCCGAGGCGGTATTTCGTCCTCCCTCAACGGGCATTTGGTCTTTGGACCTTCCTTTAACATGCCTTTGTTACGGAGTGCGATTATCAACCTTAGTTTGGGAGCAGTATTGTCTCAAAGTTGATGAAAACAGTAAAAAATGCCTTTGAATGCCATTTTGATCCACTTTGAGACAATACTGCTCCCAAACTAAGGCCGATAATCGCACTCCGTAACAAAGGCATGCTAAAGGAAGGTCCAAAGACCAAATGCCCGCTGAGGGAGGACGAAATACCGCCTCGGATCAGACGCAGTTGCTGCTTAAAGTCGGCCTAAAACACGAGTTTTTAAAGGCATTTTCGACCGTTTTGAACAATTCTGCCAGCCGGGAAACAGCCGCGACCCCAGGCGACCCCAACCACCTCGTCGCGACCCCTCGAAATTTTTTTCGCGACCCTATTTGGGGTCGCGACCCCAAGGTTGGGAACCGCTGAGTTAAGCCCTTGGGAGACCCAAACGCGCGGCGCGGCCCACGGAAGTGGGAGAGGGCGTACCTGTGCAATGCGTTGGCGCACAATGACACCCCCGCAAAGAGAAACACCGCACTGTAAGTTGGACTCACGGTAAAGCACGACCTCGGAGGGGCGCGCCTCCTCACCTGGGGACGGCGCCGGCCGCGGCGCATTGTGCTCGTGGCCGCCGAGGATGGCGCTCACGCTGAACTTGAGGGCGGGGGCGGGCTTGGGGGGCGGCTCGGACGACGGCAGCCCGCCGAGCCCCAGCCCGAGGCCGAGGCCGCCCAGGGCGGCGCCGGGGAAGCCGCCCAGGCCGGCGGCCGCGACCAGCGTGCTCAGCGAGGACGCCGTCGACGTCGGCGTGCCGCCGCTGCTCGGGGGCCGCTCGTCCGAGGAGGTGGCGTCGTCCGAGGAGGCCGGGGACCTCGACGACAGCAGCGAGTCCACGCAGAAGCTGGCCGGACCCCCTCGTCCTGGGGGGGCAGGGGGGCCAGGGCGGAGCACGGCGACGGGCACGTCGCGGAACATCACCACGTCGCCGTCATGCCGGTCGAGGGCACGCTAGGCGCGCATGGGGCGCCTCGTCGCATGGGGCGGCCCGCGCTGCACTCCGAGAACACTCACTGCACTGCACTGACACTCGCCGACTGTTGCACGCTGGCAGTGCCGCGGGGCCGCGAGGCGGCACGGTGCGCGGCACGGTGCGGGGTGCGCGGGCTGCACGGCGTGTGCACTGCGTGTCGTCGCGGCACAACGCCGACTGAGCTGGCCGACCCAGCCGAGCAGGGGTTGCTGCGAACCCTCCGCCATGGAGGCAGGCAGGCCGCTGGACCGGCGAGGCGGGGGTGGGGGTGCGGGGCGCGGGGTGCGCGGAGCGGGGCCAGGCCCGCGCTCCTCCTCCAATCATACGATCGTTCAAAGAGACCCAATGATAATCATAAAAAGAGCGAATAGCTCCGCGGGGGAGCGAGAGAGACGCCGCGAGGGAGGGCGGTGGAGGGAGAGAGGCCGTGCTGGCAGTGCTGGCCCCGCCCCACCCTCTGCCTCGCCAGCCACGCCAGCCACGCCTCCCTCCTTGCTGCACCACCCTCGGGCCTCCTTGGCCTGCCCGCTGCCCGCTGCCCGCCTGCCCGCGCACCCTGCGTCTTTATGGCAGCGGCAGCAGGAAAAAAAAATAATGAAGCCATCTCGAAATAATAAGATATCGGGTTTCAGTGGCAGATTTCTTTGCCTTGCTTTTTGCGTCCCTCCGCCCGCTGCCCCTCGCCGCTTTTTCAATTATCCACTCGTTTCCTTGTGTTTTGGCTCGCGCTGCGATACAACCCCCGCAGCCCCTTCGGCCTGCCCTCTCTCTCTTTCCTCCGCGGCCCCGTGTCCCGTGTCCAGGCCTGCAACGCCGCGCCCGCCCTGCTCGGCCCTGTTCGGCCCTGATAGCAAGTCCTGGCAGCCGCGGCCCGCTACATTGTTCGGGTGGCACAACAAGCAATAGGAAAGTGGAACTCGCGAGGCACCGATAGTTTTTGAAGGACAGAAAGAGGAGTCGTTAAAATCCCGGACGCCTGCGGCATGCCGTGGCAAATATCTTTCCACTGGAGTTTCCAGGAAACCTTTCCAACCATAGTATTGTTTACTTTTTTATTTAAAATGTTGTGCATTTTGACATTGTCCTTCTCAGCAGAAGTGTGTTTTTGCGGCATCCAGCCGACACTGGCGACTGGCTTTTCGCTGCTTTCACTCCTCGATCTCCAAATCGAGTTACCCCCTGCCCTGCCTGCCCTGCCTGCCCTGCCTGCCCAGGGCTCTGGCCTGCCGGGTCGGCGGCGTGCCCCGAACGGCGCGGCCACGGCTTGGCGCTCTCTGCCTCTGTTTCCTCCAGACGTTTACATGGCTCGCGCATTTATCATGGCAGGCCTGCCGAGCAGCCGAGCGCTGAGCGGGCTGAGCGCTCGAAGGGAGTACAGTCGGCGGGAAAATTGTCTGCACATTGGGCTGACGTTTATGATTGAACTGTCAAGCGGCGCGGTGGCCCGGCGTGGCGGGGCGGGGCGGGGTGGGGCAACGTCAGAACAGCGCAGCGGATCGCGGGCAGGGGCGGGGGCCTTTATTCCGCCAGTGTGGGTAATACGGCAGCAACGCGCGAGGCTCTACTTCACGGCATTCTCGCCGCAAGGCAGCGGAGCGGCAGCGGGCCTCCAGATTTCAGGTCGACGGGATCAACGCCGGATCACCCCGAATGGCTCGGATATACACAGTTCCGGCGGCAGACAAGTTCAAATAATGCATATTTTGTGTTACTTTTATGGAACACGATGGCCGATTGTTTTCGGTTTCGTTCTGTTTCCCCAGAAGGCGCTTTCGTCGATCTAAAGTTGGGCGACGACTTTGCCGTTCGCAGGCTCCCCTTTTTCTCCTCTTCTTCCGTGGCAGCATGCGCTGCCCCCCCCCCAAGCCCCGCAGACGCTGCAGCAGCCAATTTCGATTAGCAGCGACCGAGGCGTCCCATAATAACACAATCATATTCATGCCGGAATCGCAAGCGATTTATGTAAATCGGCGGGGCTGGTCGGGGCGGCCTGGCTGGGGAGCGTCTTTATCGAAAAGGAGCGGCGAGATATTGGCTGGCAGCCAGAGAGGGGGTGGGGGGCGCACCCTCTCCGTTACGGCCCCACTCCTCCAGTTCCAGACTCGACTCCAGCGGCTCCAGCATCCAATCGGCCCCACAAAACTGCCATCGGACCGGCCCGGCCCGGCAGGCCCATCTGCCGGCACTCAGCGGTGGCCCCCGCCGCCCCGCCGCGCCGCCCGGCCAGCAGGAAGCAGGGCTGCCCGTCAGGACGGCGCCCTTCATGGCCTCGACGACGTCCCATTCGGACTATCCGACAAGCTGGCCGCGGGGAGCCTCCCCGAGTGTGGGGACGGGGATCGCGGCGGAAGGTCCGTGGCGGCAGCGCGGGGATCGGTAGCTCATGACCCGAGCCATGCCGAGCCATGCCGAGCCATGCGAGTGAAGGATCGACTACTTGGCCGCAGGCAGCGGGGCCTCGGCGGGGCGGGGAGTCGGGGGAGCGCTGCTCGGCCCTCCACCCTCGACCCCCCACCCCCGGCCCTTCCGCCCTTCCCCGCCCTTACACACATTTTCCATATGTATTCGAGTCAGCACGACTCCCATATTGCATTCACACCCCCTGAAATATATATTTGGCAGCCCCTTCACGCCGCGCCACGCCGTCCCAGCCCCAGCGGGCCCCGTCCCTTATTCGCCCTTAAAAGTGCTTATACGCACTGCGTCTGCGTGTCTGCTTCTGCCAGTGGCGCCGGTCTCTGCCGCCGCCGGTCTCTACCGCCGCCAGCGCGGCAGGCAATTCAATGTGGCGCGGCGACTGCAGGTTTTCCTTTTTCTTTTCGTCCGCCAGGGCGCGCTGGGGCGCGGGTCGCTGGCCCGCGAAACCAGCCACCGCCGTGCCGCCGTGCTCGAGTGCTGCTTCCGGCCGCTTTTGCTCACCGCGCCGCCGTTTGTGAAAAATAAAACTCATTTCCGGCGGAGCACGCATTAAAACGGCGAGGCGGGGCGGGCAGGGCGGGCCGGGGGTGATCAAGTTAAGAGGTGTTGTGCGGTTAGCCTTCACGCCTCCACTGCACCCTGTTTACTTATTTATCCCGGGGCATCTCCCTGGCGCGCACGGCCGTCTGTCTGCCCGTCTGTCTGCCCGTCTGTCCGCCCGCTCCCCCACCGCGGAGGCCCGGGCGGACGACGAGGACAGAGTCATCTTTCTCGAGGTGCGCGCCGTGCTCGGCGTCCGCGCTCGCGCCGTGCTTGTGCTGCGCTGCCGCCGCTGCCGCGCCGAGAGCCGCCCTGGCTCCCCTCCGGTGGTGGGGGTGCGGGCCGCGCGGCGCGGTGCGGCGCCGCCAACCACTCGAGCAGCCGGGCGCCGCCATTGGCTGCGCGGCCGGGGAGGCGGGGCCTGGCCACCTCTCCGGGCGCGGGGGGAGCGGGCGGCGCGGGCCGGGAGGGTTGCTTTGCCTTCTTGCGCCGCGACGCCGCGAGCGACCGTTAGGGGTAAGAAAGGGATGGGAGGCGGACGGGCGGGCGGGCAGGCTGCGGTGGCGGCAGGGCCTTGCAGGGCAGGGCCTTGCAGGGCCGGGCCGTGGAGGGCCACCACTGGAGGCGCGGCGCGCTACGGTGCGGCTAATGCGCTCGTAATGACTATCCGGGACTATCGCGTTCATGGACTCATGAATGGAGCAGACTGATTGCCCCGCCCCTCCCAGCAGGCCGTGGCGTGGCGCGGCGCGGCGCGGGGCCCAGGCCATGCCCAGGCCGGGCTGCAGGTGAAGGAGGAGGAAGGCGCCGTTGTTGATGCGGGCGGCGCAGGGCCGGGCCGGCAGTGCAGGGCAGGGCGTGGCAGGGCGGCGCGTTTAATGGCGGAACTACCATCTTTAGCAGGGTGAGCCTGAAGGGCCTGAAGCCCGGCGAGCCTTGTTGTTTTGCCCCATCGCCGTAAACTACACGACTCGCCTTGTCGTGCTGGTCGAGTGTGCTGGTCGGCTGGGCCGGGCTGGGCTGCCCGGCTGGGCCGCCGGGGAGCAGCAGCCCCGCTGCCCACCGCCCTGGCTTACTGCACCACGTGCTGCACGCTGCATCATCCGAGTGGGGACCTCGTTGGTCTGTCTCTGTCGCACTCAAGGGTTGTCCCGTGGTGCGACAGAGATACCTCCCGCGCGAAGTTATCAGTCTTAGCACTCCACCGCGTGCCCGAGTGAGCCCAGCACTCTCTTGCCAGGACTCCGACATCGCCATGGTCCTCGCGGCCGCCACAGCCCGCAAAACGCGCCGGCCGGATGTTCTGGCTGCCGGCAGAAGCACACGCGTTGTGGCCCATCGTTGTGCTGCTGGCTTCATTCCGTTCCCCAAACAGGGTCGAAAACAAGATGTGACCCTTCCCCCTTCCCCGTTTCCCTCGTGCGAGCTCCCCCTTCAGTCCAAGGAGTGCTTGACCCATAAGGCTGCTGCGGCCCACTGGGCACCCCCGAGTAGGGCCCCGAGTAGGGCCCCGAGTAGGGCCCCGAGTAGGGCCCCGAGTAGGGCCCCGAGTAGGGCCCCGAGTAGGGCCCCGAGTAGGGCCCCGAGTAGGGCCCCGAGTAGGGCCCCGAGTAGGGCCCCGAGTAGGGCCCGAGTAGGGCCCGAGTAGGGCCCCGAGTAGGGCCCCGAGTAGGGCCCGAGTGGCCCCGAGTAGGGCCCCGAGTAGGGCCCCGAGTAGGGCCCCGAGTAGGGCCCCGAGTAGGGCCCCGAGTAGGGCCCCGAGTAGGGCCCCGAGTAGGGCCCCGAGTAGGGCCCCGAGTAGGGCCCCGAGTAGGGCCCCGAGTAGGGCCCGAGCCCCCGCAGCACCTGCACCTGACTTGGAGGGACCAGCACCACAGTCCCGAGTCCCACCCCGCAGGGCCCGGCGGTGGCGGTGGGCCTGCTGGTGGCCCTGGTGGCGGCCCCGGCCATCCTGGTGGCCGGCCCGGCTGGATCGTCCGTGGATGGA